TGCTACCGTAGAACAAGTGTTAAGATTCAGGTTTCGGAGCAGCAGCCGTGTTAGTCTGTATTCGCAACAAGAAAAGGAGTCCTTGTGGCACCTTACAGACTAACCAATTGATCTGAGCATGAGCTTTTGTGAGCTACAGCTCACTTCATCCAATGGAGATGAAATATTCGTTCAGACCAGAAATGTGCAAAGAGTGAAGCAGCAGCAAGATGGTTGTGACAATGACATGATTTTACAAAGGCCTCGTATCTGATGGCCTGCCAGGCCACACTGGCTGGAGGTATACGAATGCCTTCAACACCAATAAACTTTAGGTCTGGGTTTGTGATCACAAAAGAGCACTGTTAATGCAACCTTACCTGGTCCAGTATATTTTATAAATGGAATAGCCCCAAAATGCCTGATCATCTGGTAAGACTGCCATGGAAAGTTCACTAGCCTAAGTGCAAAAACCTACTGGATATTTTGCTCACTGGTCTTCTAAAAAATAAAAATAAAAAAGGCTAATGGCCCCAAGCAAGGGGGTAATTCAGCCGTCCCTTTATCTGGCGCACACAACCTGCAAGTTCTTGGAAGATAAAGACAATTCAAGTTGCTAGGTTAGGGTGGAGCAGCTCAGAATGGCTGGGTCTTGGAGCCAGCACAACATGCTGGAACAGAGCCTAAATTCTGGGGATGTTTACTCCCAGGATTGGAGCAGCTTAAAAGAACCTGTCAAGCTGTGGTGGTTTTTTAAAAAGTTCCATCGCCTTTTATATCCCCTTGTGGGCTGGTAAACAATGGGCTGGAATGTGGTCCCTTCCCATTCAGCGGTACAGGGGATGGGATTCATAAACAGCAGCCTTGTGGTTTTTTGCTGGACGCTTTTTGCAGAGAAATACAGTTGAGCTTCTCAGGTAACTGCATGCACCAGCCCTATGGTGAGCCCTGGGCTCACATGCTAGCTGGTGATCCGTGGAACCTCCTTTTAAAAATCACTGTCTGATATTTTTTTTAAATTTTTTTTTCTTTCTTCCTCAAATACGTGGAGAATCCTGTCCGACCCAAAGTGTCTCTAGCACTAAGAACAACATTTGCGTTCTGTGTGGATTTAAAATACATACATATGCGCCACCCAAATCTGCTGCTGTTGCTTCCACAGTGTCTTAGAGCCAGGTCTAAGTGAGGATGAGTTGCACCAATGAAGTAGTGAACTCTGGGAGAATGGGTCCTCCATGTTGTGACACGGCACCCTAGTGCTTGTTCTCTGGTATGTTAAAATTCGTCCACCGTGTTTTGCCTCTTATCAGCTGAACAAGAGACCCTATAAATGTGTCTGCACAGCATCAGCCAGGTATAAAGAGAGACTTCTGCAGGCACTGGGTCTGGGAGGCAGGGAAGCGCTTTACGGCAAAGTGAGGCGGAGTTGGGTTAAGAGACTGGCTTGGCTCAGACAGCAGGACTGTGACAGAGCTGGGACTAGTACCCCGGAGTCCCGGCTCTTACTGTTGTGTCCTCCGTACTCCTTCCCTTTGACTCTTCCAGAAAAACAACTGAAATTGGTTTGGAGTAGCAGTGAGTGAGTGAAATTGACTTGAGTAAATCAAATCAGTGAATGCTATTACTTTGTATAGTCCCCCTTTTCTGACCCTAACCATGCTTGACGCACATATTGTTCCACTTGACGCCCGTTCGGATTGCCACGCTCTGTGTGTCTGGGGAGGGTTACATGGTTTGCTGAATTGCTGGCTGCGTTTCAGTGCTGGGTGGCATGATCCCTGTCTAGCTTGAAAAGCTCCTTGGGATGGTTCGGGTTGACAGGGGCAGAAGGGGTGTGTGTGTGTGTAAGGTGTGAACTGAAGCATTCTGTGAACTGAAGAGTGGCCTTGGTAACTTATTACAGAGTGGGACTTGGTTACGGGTCCCATCAGAAGAATAGAAGGATTGTATAGCTCCTTTAAATATAATTCTGCTTTAAAGGATAAGGAATCCCTTTCTAAACCCAATAAAAAAACGCTGCGAGCTTCTCAATATTAGAGGGAGACTCCTGATTCTTGTCACTGGAAGGGGTGAGCAATGGGGTGCGTATAACGGTTGTTTCTGGTGCATCTGAATCAAAGCCATACCAGCTTGATTTTTTTTTTTTAGGGCCAAATCCTCAGCTGGCGTAAATCAGTGTAGCTCTTTTGACTTCAATGGAGCAACATTGATCTACACTGGCTAGGGATCTGGCTCCTCAGAATCTAGATGTGCTTCTCAAAGTAGCATTGGGTTTGTTCCACTCTGGCCTCCCCAGTGCGAGAGCCATTTCCAAGTCCCCAATTCTCCATGCAGCAAAGGAGCAGCAGCACGGGATCAGCCGTGGGGGAGGCTCGGTGCTCTCAGCCTATAGGAGAAGAGCTTTGAGAAAGGGAAAGTGTTGCCTAGCCAGTAGCCCAGGGGTGGGCAAACTATGGCCTGAGCTGTTTTAAGCCAGTCTGTGAGCTCCCGCTGGGGAGCGAGGTCTGGGGCTTGCCCCACTCCGGTGCTCCAGACGAGGTGCTGGGTCGGGGGCTGCACCATGTGGCTCCCGGAAGCAGCCGCATGGCCCCGCTCTAAGGATCAGGGGCCGCTCCACGCATAGGAGCCGGAGAAGGGACATGCCACTGCTTCCGGGAGCCGCTTGAGGTAAGTGCCACTTGGAGCCTGCACCCCTGAGCCTCTCCCCATGCCCCAACCCCCTGCCCCAGCCCTGATCCCCCTCCTGCTCCCCAAACCCCTCAATCCCAGCATGGAGCACCCTCCTGCACTCCAAACCTCTCATCCCCAGCCTCACCCCAGAGCCCGCACCCCCTCCCCAACCCCAATTTTGTGAGCATTCAGGCCCACCATGCAATTTCTATTCCCCAATGTGGCCCTCAGGCCAAAAAGTTTGCCCACCCCTGCAGTAGCCCATACCTCCTGTAGGGGCCCACAGTGGGGGATATGATGCTCCCAGGAGAAGAGGTCATTTTCGGTAGAGCTGGTCAGGAACCTTTTGATGAAACATTTGTGTTGGAAAATGCCAATTCGTCACAACAGAAACATTCCGTGGAAATGTATCAATTTTGATGAAATTTTCTCAAGTCCAGGGTGGAATTTTGGGGGAAGGGAGAGACACACGGAATAGCCAGGAGCCCAGTGGTTCAGCTCAACTCTCTGCTCTCCCTGATTCGGAGCAGAACCTGGATCTCCCACATCCCGGGTGAGTGCTATAACCACCAGGGTATTGGCCACTGTGTACTGGGTCGGGTTCTCTCTCTCTCTCTCTCCTGTTTTAACGGCAAATTTCAAAGGTCTCACTTGCATTGTGAAGTGAAATGCAACCAATGCCAAAACCTCAGCCCTGGTGAAATAGGGACTAGTCTGGCTGTCTGTCTGGTTTGCCACTCGCTCTGGGCTTTTCTTGAGGGAGACTGTGGACCCCCCTCTGCGAACTGCTTCTAAGCTCAGTCCTCTTGGGAAGGATTTTCTGTCTTCCTGGCATTTCCCCAGCACGCAGGCCCTCCTGGCAGAATTATCTCCGGAGATGTACAGTACTCTGCAGCCAGCCTCCTTTGTTTCTACAGCATGTCAGAATGGCTCCTGCGTGTAATTTACACGGGAGCCAAGCTTGGCTGTGCATCGCAGGGCGGTTGTTACACTTGTCTGTCTGTAGCCTTCCCCTTAAGCTTTATCCTCCACAATGGCCCATGTCCTGCACTGACATCCAGGGGTTCAGTGTTTTAAAGGCTTTCTCAGCGGTTCGGGTAAGTCTTGTGAACTTGTCCTCGCTAAGCCCTTATTTTTAAGGCAATGGCTGTGAGCATTTGAGTGGAGGGTTGGGCAGGTTTGAGTCTCTCGCTGTCCCAAATATGGAAGCGTAGCCCTCCCAGGTGGTTAGAGAAGGAAACCAGCGTCGTTTTCTTCCCTGATTCGCCCACTGACTTGCCCTGTGGCCTCGCGCCAGTTGCTTCCGCTCTTTGTGCTTCCGCCTTCCCCTCTGTAAAACGGGGATGGCAAAACTTAGCCACCTCCATAAGGTGATCTGAAATCCTGGGCTCGCAGGGCTACCCAAGGGCAAAGTGTAATAACCTTCCGTAGCCCCCTAGGACGTTGTTGTTAGTGCAACATCAACTCCCTCTGCCTCTGCACAGAAGTCTCCCAGGCCCTTGGATAGTGCTGATCTTGGGGCCTTTTGGGAGTGTGTGAGAGAATCTTGTATTGTAGGGATTGTCTCTTTCAGGCTTCAGGATGAATTCCTGCTCCATCCCTCCCTTCCCATGAAGAACAATAGAAATAACCAGGGGACAAAGACTCAATTAGAGGCCGTTCTCGTGCCCCAGGAACATCTTTCCAGTTCTGTGCCTTCTTGAAAAAGTGCCTGCACCTGTCTCTGTGAGCAGAGGCTCCATAAATCCTTTCTCCTTCCCTGCCTGCGGGAGTGCAGCCGTGCTGAGCAGCCCCATCAATAAGAACTGCCCTTAGCCAGAGATGTGACTCAGCAATCTGTACCGAGCTGGTTCGCCATGGGCTGTTTAACCCTACAGAGCTGCTGATGCATAACCAGCTTTGGCCCCCCAGTGGGTTAGTAACTCCACCGTGATGCAGTCCCAGCACTAAATGGAGCATTGAGCCCGGTTTTTGCTCCATTTGGCCCTTCTTCTTTGTTCTGAAGTGTAATTTACACGGGAGCCAAGGTTGGCTGTGCAGTGCAGGGCGGTTGTTGCACTTGACATGGGGTCTTGTTGGTACACCTGAGCCACCGTGGGCTAATTGTCCAGAAAGTCAGGGCCTGTTGTCTCCTAGTCATGAAATAGGAAGGGGGAGTTAGAAGGAGGAAAGACCTGTTGGCTCAAGTCCACTCCCCCTCTCTGCATGATGCTCTGTCCCACTGCAGGGGACGCTCAGGATGTGCCCCCTACACACACTTGTACTCCGTGGCTGTGGGGAGCAAATGCAGGGGAATGCATAATTGTTTGGCTGGTTTATGTCATGCTTTCCCTTTCTCTTCGCGTCCCTAGTTGTGTATGAGCACAGATCCCGGCTTGAACGATCCCTGCAGAAAGAGCGAGGGGAACACAAGAAGACTAAAGAAGGTGAGTCTCTTGCACAGGCATAGCAGAGGTCGGCAGCAACTCAAATAGTCTCGCTAGGGAATAACGCACAGCACCTAGAGTAATTTCCACCTTCATAGCACTGTTCAAAGGTTAATGAATCCTCCCAACATCCTCATGAGGCGGTAGGTGGGAATTATCCCTGCTTGACACATGGGGAAACTGAGGCAGAATGGTTAGTGACTCACCTGAGGCCACAAAGGGAGGAGGTGGTGTGAGATCAGGGATTGGAACTCTGGAGTTAATGGCTCCTACTCCTGTATTTAGTCCCTGTCTAAGCAATCCGTCTGTCTAGGCTCTTGCATTGACACCTGTGACGTAACGTCTGAGTTCCACAAACCTGTTAACTAAACCCAGCACTGGACCGTGCCTCTTCTTTTTAAATGCGTAAACTTTACATCAAGGTGAACTAGCTTGGTCAGTTTCACAAAAATCAATACAGCCATTACAGGTTCAGTGTTTGCAAGGTGCTCTGAAGATGTGCAGCTGCCTAGTGCTTCTTAATAATAATAATTAATAATAGCATTATTGCCAGCTCTTTGTTCTTGACATTGGCTACAGATTGTAAAACCTCCCATTAGCTTGAAATCCAGAGATGAACATGTCTATTTTTAAGACCGCGAAATTGAATAGGAAATAAGACGTGAAGGGGCTAGAGCCTGTATCTCGTAGCTCTGAATGCTGGATGGCAGATCACGTTAGCCCTGAATGTTGCTGGCAATTTAACAGCTTGGTTTGTATCTTCAAAGCTGCTATGTGGAGAAATACGTCTATCCCTTTTGGTCTCATTCCTAAGCTCCCTGCATTTCTGGAAACGTTGACATGTATCAGCCAAGTTTGTCATGAGTCTGTGGCTAAATAGTTGACTCAAATGTTGAATGTCTGTCTTCTAATATTTAGATTTCTTTCATAGTTTGTCAGCGTTGCTCTAGGAAATGAGGCGACTGCCAAAGGGATTGCTGCAGAGCGTGTATGGACTCTGAATGGCTCCGGGCTGTGTGCATTTTGGCTCTAAGAACGCTGAGGAGCTTTTCTCCATGACTGGATCCAGTAGACCATTTATTTCAAGCAAACATAGCATTGGATGCTCGTGAAGTGAAGGACGAGTAGCACTGTCTTCAGTTAGCTTTCACCACACACAGCCCAATGTCCTGACCAGCTGTATGCTCTGCAATTACTCTGCAGGAGGGTAGCCCCCTCTTGGGAAGCCTTATATAGCAAACCATGTAGTGGTTTGGTGACTGGGCACAAGGACGTTGGCACGGTTACTCTACCAGGATCTGCGAGGCCAATGCATTAATTCCCTGTACCCATCCCTTCCCAGGGGGGTTTGATTACCATTCTTTGTGTTGTGGTAGCACCTGGGAGTCCCGTCCTTGCACCAGGACCCCATCGTGCCAGGTGCTGTACAGACATAGATCCAACAGACGGTCCCTGCCCCAAAGAGCTTGTGCACTGAGCTGATGTGCTGCTGTGCCATTTAAATGGAGGGTGGCAAGTCTGTACGATATTGGGCTACAGTTTGCTCGGCATTTTGGGGGGTAAAATGTAAAGCTTCACCCCCAGCGCATCCGTGCAGAGTGGTATGTGCTTGTCTCCCAGTGACACAGCAGTTAGGGTCAGTTCTGTTTCTCTGAAGCTTCTAAGGAAGTTGGGGGCGTAAGTTTCATAGAGCCATTACCTAGCCTAACCAAATACCATAGCCTCTTGCCTGACCAAGATTTGGACCCCTTTTCACTCTACGCGACAAACTTACAATCTAAATAGATAAAGGCTGGTGAAGGGAAACTGAGGCACCACGTCAGGAAATGACTAGTCGCAGCAGGTCATTCACAGGAAATAGAACCCAGGTCTCCTGATTCCCAGTTCAGTGCCTTATCCCCTAGGCCACTCTGCCTCCTGGCAGTAGTGATTTACACAGCCTTCTTGGGAGTAAGAGCACAGAGAAGGATTCTTGGAGGGGCTGCTCTCGCAGTGGCGAGGAGAAATCTGAGGCACACTGGTGCTCCCAAAGGTATCACCCCTTTGTTTGTTGCGTCCTAGGAGCTCACTTCTGATCTCACTGTGGCCCTGATGACTAAGCTGGGCAAGGGAGGGAATCTCTGGCTTTAGAACTGATTGAACAAAGCATGGGTGCTCCTGGCCCTGTGCTGATCTCTGCAAGCCGACCAATGTGTTATGGGGTTTAACTATTCTGTGTTAACTCCTGCTCCCGTGACGTGGTACCGTCAGCAACGAGGGCTGGCACTGTCAGATCCTGGCTGTCTATGGGAGCTGCGTCTCTTCCCGCAGTGACAGTCCTTTGGAGAATGCAGGGAAACCCTGGTGGTGGGAATTTGGGAGATGCATGAGAGCACCAATGCCACGTTCTTCATGGAAAGGCCCTTCTTATTTGTGTGTTTGATTCAGAGGGAGGAGCACGCAGGAAGACACCGAATAATTGAATCCCTTTCCCAATTCCAGTGACAGATCTACAATACTGTGATCAGATCTAGTTAGTACCGAGGTGGGGTGGGGAATTCACCTAACCTCCCATCCTAAGAAGAGGACGCAGTGTAGCAAATAAATGATACACCTTCATGAGGCTTGCAGGAGCCGTTGGCTGGTGCAGACGGAACTGAATGCAGTGCTATTTATGCCTGTCTACTGGAGCTGGGTTGCACGTGGAAATGTGTGCATCTGGCTTTGCTGGACACTTCTTTACATCGAAGCATCAACCAGGCAGCTTAATTAGAGGCCCAAGCACTGGGATATCGGGGGATGCTGAAGAGCAGGACAACAATGAGGTGCGTTATGTGTTGTCCCCAGACTGGACTAGTGGGGGATGCTGCAGATCAGGATTGATGGACATTGCTCGAAGCAGGCAAGGGGACACAAGCCCGGAATAGCAGCTTGGTGCTGTAGGGCCCCATTGAGGTGCAGTGACGGAGCGGAGCGGGCCCTGAAGGGAGGTGAGCAGTCATGGGAGTTTGAGGAGGCCAGAGATAGCAATTGGGTCCCTTGCTTGGCATAAGCAATGAAGCCTCAGGAAAGGACAGGCCATCTTTTCAAAGGGCTTTCTGGATCTAATGCAGCTATACTTGTGTTTTCCTTAATCATAGACACTGTTATCTTCACGTTTTGCCTCTTGCGGTGGGTTAAGTTGAGTCTGTTTGAATCATTTTGTTATGATTTGTTTTATGGTAGAGCCTAGGGACCCCGATCAGTGCAATGACTTTTCCTGCCCTAAGGAATTGACAGTCCAGCCTTCCTATGTAAATCATGTCTGAGAGAGGATGAGATGGCCCAAGGTTCTCTTTGGACTCCTGGAGCCGGCTTTGGCTCACTGTGGCTAGTGCTCACCAGCCAGCCCTTGTGGAAATTTGTGTGCAGATAAATCAGTTTGCTGTAAAATGAACTGCCTCCTCCACCTGTGTATGCTGCAGCTTGCCACTGATGTTTTCCTTCAAGCCCACCACCGTGCTGGGAGAAATGCCACCGTGTAGCTTTAAAATGTATTTCTTGCTAGCATCTTTCGTCTCAAAGGACCCCAAAGAATTGCGCAATCTTTGCACCTGCTGAAATGCAGCCATTCCTGGGGTAAAGAGTGGCAGCGATCTAGAACACTATACTGTATTGGGAAGAAGGGAAATTTTGGCCAGGACAGCAGGGCGGACAGGTTTAATGGAAAGTACTACACTGTCTTTGATCGCACAGAGCGGACAGGACCTCGGTGTTCTTTAAGTCTCTTAAAAGCTTCTGCATTCCATCTGGCTGGATCAGCCTTTTGCCTGGTTAGGAGTTTTTCTCCTTCTGAAAATTATAAAACAGATCCTTGTAAATTCCATCCAATTAAACACTCTCTTCTTTTTTCCTTTCTAGATTTTTTGGTGTATAAATTAGAAGCTCAAGAGGCACTCAACAAAGAGAAGGTAGGTACAGTATGTTTCTGTGTGTGTTTGGAGAGAGAGAGATCCTTTCAGTATTTCCACAGCTGCACACCAACATACATTGGGGATGATGCTGGCATTAGAGTTTTGGGCCAGTAGGTATCCCATCAGGATGAATCCTGGGTCACTTCATCATTAATGGTCTAAGGGCTTGTCCATGTGAATGTTTAGTTCCTGGCAAGCTGTGGTGTGAATCCATCCCACGCTAGCCTGCTGTGGACTAAGTGTTCATGTGGACCCTGCTGACTTGCGTTAACAGTTTGGGCTTGTCTACATGAGGGCATACAGAAAAATTAATCCAAATGAATTAAAGGTGTGCATTTGAACTGGATTAGTTAAACCTCATTAACACCTGTGTGAACCACTTCATTCAGAATTAAAGTGGCCTTAATTCAGTTTATTTGAATTCATTTCCAAAGTGAATTAAACTAAACTGAATTATTAAGGCCACCTTAATTCTTAATAACAGCATTCATATTGGGATTTAATGTGGTTTAACTAATTCACTTCAAATTCACATCTTTAGTTAATTCAGATTAATCTTCCTGGATGTTCCCATGTAGACAAGCCCAAACTGTTAACACGCATCAGCAGGGTCCATATGGCCAGTTAGTCCGCGACAGATTAGTGTGTAGTAGATTCACACCCCAGCTTGCTGTGAACTTGTCTACACAAACAATTAGTCTTATGTGAATAAGGGTCTATTTCAACTCAGTTGGGAAGGAGAAAAGAACTGTGTCTCTCTGGGGATGTTGCTAGCCCAAGTCCCTATTCTTGGTCCAGATCTGTAAATGGCAAACTGAGTGACTGGACTTCTAGCCTCCCTGGCATCATGGAGTCCTGCTCAGCTGCCTATTGGCAAAGGAAAGGCCAGTTGTCTTTGTATTGGACAGAATTCTATTCACCTGAGAAACTAAGCATAGGGACAGCCCAGAAGAGAGGAACTATACTGCAGGGAAGTTGTGGACACTGTCCCTGTGACGGAGGTAAATGGTTTCTCCTGGTCTGTGGGTGGGAGCGTGGCAGCAGAACTGAGTCAGGGGAGATCATGAGTAGCAACAACCTCTCCCCCTGCAGCCCCGTCCCAATGGGTGGTGGGTGTTTGTCACTAACAATGTGCATATTAAATTACCAGCTACCTGGTGCAGAGAGCCAGAGCAAAACAGTGCGTCTTGGGGGAGGGGGGGTTTACTGCCAACCCCCGTCTGCTAAAAAGGGGGTGTCTTTTTCCCCTTGGGGGTGGGGCGAGGGCATCTTTCAATGGAGATGGGAGCCCTTTGTCATCATATTCATAGCCCCTGACCCTTTGCAAAACAGAGAGCTTTGCATAAGTGTTGGCCGTTGTTCACTGCATGTGATGGTGTGTGACCAGCAGCAATGAAAGTGTCAGTGTTGCTGAATTCAGGCAGAACTTTATTACTCGAGTCCCTAGGGGCCCAGAAAGCTCAGCGTTTGCATCTGATTTTCACAGGCTTCCTATTGTGTCTATTTATGGGGCTGAAATAATGCAAGATTGGTCCCATTCCAGGGTTTTCAGCCCCATAACTACTCTTTGTGGTGTTAAATCCCCTGACAGCTGGACGTGCAAATGCTAGAGCCCCTCTTCATTTATATCCTCACTGCAGTTTGCCAAGTGCCATGAATACAGCAGCACAGAAAACAAAGGGGAACCTTTATGGTTAAATAGTATATTCACTTGTAATGAAGAAGTTAATGGGGTGTACTGGTGAGATACTCCTGTGAATGTGAAGAGCATCTACAGTTACTGGGGAGAAAACGACAAGGAATCTTGATCCTCATGCTTCAGGGCTGGGGTCAGGAAGAAATACATCCCTAGGGTAACTCACTCACTTTAGATTATAGGACTTGTTACTCCTTCCCCGAAGCATCTGAAATTGGTCACTGCTGGAAACTGGGCGCCAGACTAGGTGGAACATTTAATCGGTTCCACTGTGACTGCTAAATACCACGCAGTAATGGAATTAGCATAGTGGATATACTTGCTGAAGAGACTGATGGCTATGCAGCTCCATAGCAATTGTGTCCCTGAAACTCACTTGGTGGTAATATTTTGGGTCCTATTGAATATGTAATTTGAGTTGTGGGTTAGAAGAGTGCAACAACTATACACTGTGCTTAGTTCGCAATTCCATGGTGCTGCCTGTGATCTGTGCCGGGCTACTTAAAGCTGCCAAATACAGATCTGAGCAGAGATGCTTGTGAAAAGGCCACAATTCTGCATCTTGTTCACATCCTGCACCCTGCAAGCTCTGAGTTTTCATAGGGAAAAACAGAATCTGGGCCCTGCCTTCTGGGTCTTGGGCCTTGTCTGCACACTAACTGCACTGGTTTGATTAAAATCGAGTTGGTTTCAAGCAGTGCAAACCATTCTCTGGATACGTGGTTTATAACTGGTAGCTGTACCCATATCCAGGAGTTTAAACTGATGCAGTAAAACCAGCACAAAGATTGGTTTTTAGTTAAATTGGTGTAACTTTCGCATGTAGGCGAGGCCTTAGGGTTTGTGTTGTCTGTCTCTCCCCTGCAGCTCATTAACAAGAGCCCTCATCCCAGTTCCCAGGGAATTCTCTCCTTTACAAAGCTCCTCCAGCCCATTTTGCTTGGGTGAGAATCACTAGTCAGCAAGAATTACTCTGCATTTACACCAGAGGAATGAGAGCAGAATCCTGCCCCTTAATTTTAATTAACTTCCCTGTCTGCATCTCAGTGCATGTGCTCGGGAGCCAGATTCTGATCTTACTTACACTGGTGTAACTCCATTGAAGTCAGTGGAGTTACTCCAGTTTTACACCACTGTGAGCGCAGAGTATGACCCTTCATTTTCTTTAAACTGGAAAAAATTCCTTGAAACCAATATTTTTTTGTGAAACGGGTGGGTTCGATGAAACACCTGTGCTGAAAAATTTTTGGTTGAAAAAAAAAAAAAAGCTTCCAGGTTGCTAAAGTCTCTCATTTCAGTATTGTCAAACCAGAAAGTTCTGAGGGTTTTTTGGTCTCAAAACAACTTTTCACGTAGAAATGTAAGTAAATTTTGCACTAAAAAAATGAGTCAATATCAAAATGAAATGTTTCAAAATTATCAAAAAGAAACATTTTGCTTAACTCAACCAAAGGGATGTTTTTGGATTTTTGGTTAACAAAATTTTCAAGCTTTCAAGTTTTTGTCCAATTTGTGATCGGATTTCTTTTTTTCTTTTTTTTTTAAATGTCAAAAAGTCTTATTGGACAGGAAAACTCTTTCCTGCCCAGACTAAAGGAGTAGTTTAGTTATTTTAAACTAATCCATTCTAGCAGCACTCACTGAGAAGTGACCCTTCTTAGGCTAAATGGATACAACGCTTAGTCTTATACAGGAGACCAAACATCATGGACGCTGACTTGCAGGTACTTTTAATGGTATGATTAAGTAGCCACACTGATGTTGATGTGTGGTTTTGATCTGCCTCTGTATCTTCTGCATTCTAATGTGTTTATGATATTTTGTTACAGCAAGATTCTATGAACAGATATGGGGCCCTCAGTTCACAGCATAAGATACTGAAGGTAAGTCAGTGCATGACTCCTCCTCTTTGACTGGTGAAAACTGTCTGTGCTGGGGTTATACCATGGATCTTGCCCTCCTATTGTGATCCAATAGGGGTCATGTTGGAAACAATGCAACAGTCATTTCCCCCTCGCTTTGAACCTCTCCGCCTTTCACAAAAGGTTTGACTAGCACACAGGTGCTGGGAGACTGTGCTGTCAAGTGGTTAGAGCGGCAGAACTGGGGACTCTTGGCTTGCAGTCCCATTTCTACCAGTGACTAACTGTATGATCTTGGGAAGTCCTTAATATCTGTACCTCTGCACAATGGGAATACTACAGTTATCACCAGAGCATGTTCAGGACTCTACCGGGGGCTGCGTGCCGAGTGAGGGGTGGAGCGGAAGCTCTTTGTCAGACAAATCTGGCTTTGCAGCGTCAAATGTGAGGGGGGGAAACACAAATTTCCACAAGTTTTTAGACAAAAATATTAAATGGGCCTTTTGTCAAAATTTTGCCCAAAAGAACCAAAATTGGAGGAGGGGGAATTGCACACAACACAGCAGGGCCTCCTGTGAAACAAGTCGCGTCTTGCACAGACCTGTGTGGGAGCAGAACTTGCCCAGGACAAATGTCCCATTGTCTTTTTCTACACTTGGCTTGACCCTCTCCATCACTCCCCCCCTCCCATTCCACCTGGACCCTGGAACACTCTCTGCCTTCCCGTTTGAGAGGGGAGCATGTACAACTGTTCCTTGGTGCTGTTACTGCACCTCCCATCCTCAGATTTCAACCTGCTTCACAAATGGGAGGGAATTAAACCTCACAGAATCCCTGCAAAGTAGACCATATCCCCCCTTCCACTGAGGGGAAACTGAGGCCCTCTTCTGGCTTCCTAGAGGAAAGGGCACATATATGAGAGATGCCACCAGCTTGACTCAGGGGCTGCTGCCCCCTCTGTATCTGCGTGTGATAAACATTTGTAACAGGAAATGAGTCTCATGGGGGAAGGTGCAGGGCTTTCTCCACAAGTAGCAGAAGCCTGTGTCTGGATTCCTGTTGTCTCATCAGCGATGTGATTTCTCATCTCTTTGCATCTCGAGTGGAGACTGAATTTTTTTTTAAACATTCATCAGAAGAATGCACATCGTCACCATTTACTGTCTGCAAAGGCAAAGAGCTGGATTCGAATGAAAGGGATTTGTAGACCAAGACCTCCTGACATTGCCATACACTGGGAACTTGCAATGAATGGCATTTTCCTAGCACTCGTGGTACAGGGCATGTATTATTTACCTCTTCATTTTTATCAACTGATATTTGCAGAGCTGCTTTGTAAGCCACAAGAGAACTGTTTATTTTGTAAAAAGAAAAGGAGGACTTGTGGCACCTTAGAGACTAACCAATTTATTAGAGCATGAGCTTTCGTGAGCTACAGCTCACTTCATCGGATGCTTATGCTCAAATAAATTGGTTAGTCTCTAAGGTGCCACAAGTACTCCTTTTCTTTTTGCGAATACAGACTAACACGGCTATTACTCTGAAACCTGTTTATTTTGTAATGCATGTTTCCAGATGCTGACCAGAATTAAAATTGTAGCTGGCAGAGAGGTCTCAGGCACTGCACACCCTCTGAGCAGGAAAGTGAATGTGGAGGTCTTATGCTGTATTCTACATGGCGCAGATCAGTGATTCTCAACCTCTCCAAGACTAGATGTCTTTCTAAAAGATATACTCTTGCTCAGCTGCAATTTGAAGGGCTTGATGTAGGGAACACTGAATGAAGTTTTATGATAGATCCGTTATACATCTTAAATACTTTATGGCTTCCATTACCATCATATCTGAGCACTTCACAACACCTCTCTGAAGTAGGAATGGTTTAGCCCCCTCCCCTTTTTTTACATGTGGGAAACTGAGGCACAGAAAAACTAAGTGAGTTTCCCCAGGTCACACAGGAAGTCTGTGGCAGGGCTGGGAATTGAACCCTGGCTGCCAGCTAGTGCTCTAACCATTGGACCATCCTTCCCATAGGTCAGATCTTTAAAATCAGTCTTTGGTCAACAACCCAAAAACTGAGCACAAAACTTGCTCTGCAACCCAATATGTTTAAAATAAATAAATAAGAAAAATTGATCCAAGGCTAATGAAATATCAGTGTAATTTAATTCAAGATGCCATCTCTTCACGAATTCCTTTTTAAATTAAATTTAATAAAAATTAATAGTAAAAATTTAGTTTTATATTAAGTCAATCAATTATTTTAATGTAAGAAAGTAATCTAAAACTATATTTGGCTGAAATCACATTAAAAAGGGACCTATGTGAGTCCACTGTGAAATGTATTAGAGAAGGATTGCAGCTAAAAGTGCTAATTAATTCTCATTAATGTGAAATGTGAGCTTGCTTGCAGTACATCACTTTCTCTGTTCTTGGTGCAATGCACTATTCAGTGTGTTCTCAACCCGGTGTGTGGCCATTCCACAGCATAGAGGAGTCTGTTATAGTTCTCAGTTACTAGACTTTCTCTCAAATTGTAGAGTGTCATGACTCAATTCCTGCTCGCAACCAGGATGGTGGTGGTCATGCTTCTGCAACAAGTGGCATTGGGTCATTCTCCAGATTTAAACTTGTTCCTGTAATTTTGTCTATAGGAATTTGGCGAACCTGAAGCCGAAAGCAGTGGTCAGACTTTCTGTCTCTGGCTCCAAACTTGCCACTGGCTTCTATCTCTCTTGCTGAGTTTATGCTCGATGCCTTTTTCCACACATTGGAGCATGTCCTCCTCACTCATGCAGTTGCTTTTAGATTCATAGACTTTAAGGTCAGAAGGGACCATTATGATCATCTAGTCTGACCTCCTGCACAACGCAGGCCATGGAATCTCACCCACCAGCTCCTGTAACAAACCCCTAACTTATGTCTGAGCTGTTGAAGTCCTCAAATCGTGGTTTAAAGACTTTGAGGTGCAGAGAATCCTCCAGAAGCTATGGACGCTGCAACCCTGTTGGAGCTATTGAGGGACCCACTTCCAGGCTCTCCTGTGACTTGAGAAGTGCTCCTGCGCTCATAAAATGAACCATGTGCCGTGTATGCCAGACTTCTGGCTTGGTACACTGCAGTGTGTGAATACTCGGTGTACTTGTAAAGGGTAGAATGGCAGCCAAGACTCCTGGCTTCTCTCCCTAACATTGACTGAGGTCTCAGGCAAGTTATTTAACCTCGCTGCCTCACTTTCTCTGTTTCTTGATGTTTCCCACTTTTGAGTTACAAACCTTTTTAAACCATTAAGTTTGCTCTAAGCAGAATATTTTTCCTGAGGCTGATTTGTGGCTGACCAATCCCCTGGAGCAAGTTTAAATTTGCTTTGGACCCCTAGTAAGCCTTGTGTTCACAAACCATTACAGTTCTTTGTAGCTTATTTTTAAAATGGCAGGCTGGGAAAGATGCTCCTGTGATGAAGGAGCTGGACAATGGGTATGTCTACACTGCAAAAAAAAATGTGTTTTTCACTCAGGTTAACTCAGGTTAAAATAGCAGTAAGGACACAGCAGCTCGGGTTAAAGCCCGTAGAGCAGCCTGGGGCTCAACATGAGCAGCTAATCCTGGTTAAACGCCAAGTTGCCATCTCTTCACTGCTATTTTAACTCAAGTTCGCTAACCCAAGTTAAGGACACACCTCTTTTGCAGTGTAGACAGGCCCTGCCACTCTGGAGATCTGGGATCAGTTCCTGACCCTGCCACAGACTCCCTGGGTGACATGGGCAAGTCAATTAGTCTTTTTTTGCTCAGTTCCCTATTTCTGTAAAATGGAGATCGTAATCCTTCCTTTGTCTGTCTAGACTGTAACTGTTTGGGGCAGGAACAGTCTCTTCTCTATACAGCATTTACATAATGGGGTTCAGATCTCAGCTGGAGCCTCCAGGTGCTACTGCGGTACAAATCCTAAATCAGCACTGGGACAACTCTGTGGATCCTGGTATACTATTTTCATCCGTACTATATGTACGTGAGGACCTCCCTGGCGTCTCTCTCTTTACCTTATTGCTCTGAGTAAGATTGTTCAGCAGGAGACGGTTTGTGCTATGGACTTCTGAAGGCCCCATAAAAGTACATCCCATTGTTACATGAAGCCGCGAGGATGACTCCAAGCACTGATGGCATTTTAAAAAAATCATTTAAGGGAAACAAATTGGAATGATTGCTGCAGCCCTGCAGAGTTATTGTATTGAAAGGCCAGGAGTTCACCTGCGAGCCGGTCAATTTATATATGTAATTGGTGCTGGCAAACTAAGTGTGGAAGGGGTTACTATGGGAAACCAAAAGGAGGTGAATTCTGGTTCATTGGGTTTGAGCAAAAGGATGTCTCGACATGTTTTGTTCTCTAGTGTGGGGAGGGCAGGGAGATGGAGTCTGTTTTCAAATTATTCACCCTGCATTTTTGAAACTCCACTCCCTCTGAGCTCAGCCCATGAGTCTTATTAAGACCCCTGGTCCCAGTGCCCTCGCCTTTGTCTGGAGCAGAGCTGATATGTGGCCTGTTGGCCGTACATGTCCCCCATGGGTCAGATTGAGGCAGCAGATGTGGGACTCCCTCCCGCTCCGAGCTGTCTGTACTAGTGGAGAGGGGGTCCCCGCAAGGGGTTCTCTAGCAGTTTGGTGCAGTGGGGGAAAGCAGCTAGCAGGTTTTCAGAAGGCAAACCCAAAAGAGAGAACAAAGGTAGATTCCCCAAGCAAGAGTTCAGTGTGTGTGTGCTTGGCAGGCAACATCGGGACACAAAATGGCGGTAGGAAGGGGAATTTGGTCCTGTTTAAAGGTGCAGGACTCAGGAAACTTGGCTTAGCAGATCAAACTACACGCACCGTGGAAACCTCTTCTGTCTTTCCGTGTAACGTCCCACAGTGTGGCAGGAGCTCTGGAAAGGACGTCTGGATTGGCGCAGTGTGCCACATGCATATGGTGAGGGAAGGTCATGGCCGTTGGGTGAAATCCAGAACCATGTGCCAGACCAATGAAAACGTAATGCAGCAGGAGGCCACGTTGGGTGAGGAGCATCTCCAAGAAAACACATGCTAAATCCATCGGCCGGTTGGAGACTTTGGGACGTGCACCATGTGCTGTGCTAGGATGGGTGGCTTCCATGGAGAGTCTCCAGTTCTTTCTTCCCTGTACTGTTACTCAGAACCAAGAAGTTTTTTCCTTGCCTTCTCAGGTCCCTCCTCCCCCAAATCCCTCCCTCAGCGAGGGTTAGAAACTCTCTCCTTGATGTGTCTGGAATTGTTTGGCACCTCACTACAGGAACCAACTTCAAGAGGAAGCCTCCACTCTCTACCCCGGGGGAAAAAGAGGGCAAAGAATCCCTGAAAATAAATCTCTGCGTCCCCTCTCCTCCCCTCTATCAGCCTCCAGTGAGATGACAGTGGGAAGTGCAGGAGGTGGCCTGCTTTCGTTGGCAGTAATATGAAGTTTTCTGGGCTTAAAGGGCCAGGCAGTTTTGTGGCTTGCTGCCGTTTTCATAATGGGTATGAGCCAAAAGCCTGGATCCAGATCCCCCATCCCGAGCTCTCAGGAGTTCCTACTCCCATATGGGAACTTCACGGCCCCAAGCCTCACCCGGGGCAGCGTTACTTGGTGGTTGAAACACATCAGAGGGCTGAATGAAACAGGCAGGTGGGTCACAGTCCCAGATCCCATCGGAAATGCTTTGACAGCCTGACACCCACCGCCGTGAGTGGCTCTGACTGACTGACTGGCCTTCACAGCCTCAGCCAAGAGGCCGGGATTGTTTGGCGCTTGGAGGCTCAACCCTCTCGCCTGGACAGGTGTCCCTCCAGCTCCAGGGCATGTGTGTAAAGTAGAGGGTGTGGGTGACGCTTGTGTCCAGGGACAGAACAGATGCCTGCCAGGAGTGGGTGGGTGAGATTCTGTGGCCCGCATTGTGCAGGAGATCAGACTAGGCCATCATAATGGTCCCTTCTGACCTTAATGTCTATGAATCAGTCCAGCCTGGTGAGATTGCACTAAAATACTGCTGTCTGGGTGGTCAGCACTAGAAATAGGCCAGGAAATAGCATTGCGTAGTGGAGTTGAGGGCATTTCAGCGTCCGGTGTGGCTATTCAGGGCATGGGGCTGTTACTCTGTAAACTATTCTAGCATGTGTCTAGGTGGGGAGAGGGCCAGGGGAAATACAAGTGTGGAATGGACTTTTGGCTTCGACTCTATTCCTGGATGCCAGGGGGACTTTGGAGACGGGGGCGTGAGGCTGAGGTGGGCTGCAGAGAGGGCCCTGTACTGGAGAGGTGTGATAGAGGTGGGACTGCAACTACGTGGGCTGGCAGTGCTTTGGAAACGTCCCAGCGGAGGGGATCAAACAGCCGCTTGGGGGGGGGGGGATTTGCACCAACCCTGAGTGTTGCTTTTTTTTTTTCCCCCTCCCCGTTCAGAACCAGCACGAAGATGTCAAGAAACAGCTGCTTGACCTGCAGCTACAGCAGAACAGCTTGAAACTAGAGCATCGCAAGACGGTGGAGACCCACAGCCAGAAATACGCCCAGCTGCAGCGGGAGAAGGAGAGTGAAGTCACGGGCTTGCAGGGTGAGCGCGGCGGGGAGCTGGGCCGCTGGGAGCAGAAGGCGCGACGGATGGCGTGGGTGTGGGAGAGGGTGCCCTTCCGCCTGTGAGCTCCTGCTCGTTCCCTTCCGCAAATGCCAGAAGGATCCTGAACAGAGTACAGGCTAGTTGGGCATGCGTGTATGAGAGAGGCAGGGGAGGGAGGCTGGGTCAGTAGAGACAGAAAGCTGTTTAATGGTCTGTATTGAGTGAGTTTGGGTCTCAGTCTGGTTCCCAGGGTCCATAGCGTGCACCATCCCCATTGGCAGTCTGAGCCAAGAGGCCAAGGCCTGAAGAGTTCAGGCTCCATGAACTGCCTCTCACCGCAGGAGGTTCGGGATGGGTCCGTGGGGAAGCTTGCCTTGCTGCCAGCCATGCAGAAACTGTCCTGTGGGTAAACAGAAGCTGTTGGCCCCAGGGTTCTCACCCGCAGAGCTGGGCGAAGAACGGAGTTTCTGGCTCGCTGGCAGTTTCCAAAATGTGTTTTGGGTCGAACACGACGTGTCATGCGACCCGAAGCAAAAGGCTTGATCTCGATTTTTTGAGTGGGTTTTACGCCTTTTTAAAACGAATGAAAGTTCAAGTCTCAAACCCGAAAAGGAGTTTTGACTTTCTTAATTTGGGGTGGGTTTTGGTTTTTTGTTTGTTTTACACGAACCATTTGGTGAAACGGATACAGAATCACAAAATGTTTCGGCGTCGCCACATCTGCATTTTTCACAGGGGCGGGAGGGAAGTTTTGGCTGAACCATGTCGCCCAGCATCAATCATGAGCACTGACTAAGCTTCAAGCGAATCGTAGGGAAGCCCAGTTAAGGGAAGCCCAGTTAAGAGTAGAATTCTGCCCAAGGGTGGCCCCGCTAGTCTAAGTGGTGAGTGTTTTAAGTTCAGCACAAGTTGCATGGAAGGCACATGGCCTCTGTGGCAGTGAAGTTTTCAAACTGCCTGGAACGGGCAGGACAGTACTGAAATTCCACACCTCCCTCTTTGGGTCTAGGTATTGCTACCACACCCCTCACCATGGTATCTGGGCCCTTGTTCTGGTACCCAGAGTCCTCATGGTGCTGCATGGTGAGACACTGACCCAGCGGAAGGGAACGGCTTGCTCTGGAGGATCCTAAGGGTTGTCCAAATCCAAAATGGAAGGCTCTGAAGTGCTATTGTGCTAGCCAGTGGGTTGCCCACGTGGCATGAGCTTCTGCCGGAGCAGAAGGATAGAAACACGCTGGGGCGGGGTCTAGCTGGGATTCTCCATGCCTGTGTCCCACAGTACACCTGTGTGTACCTACTTTCTCTGAGTACCGTCTGCGTATCAACATCTGAATTCTCGCCTCACTGTTCTCCTCTGAGGAGCTGAAGGCTGAGCCCCTATGTTCTTTCTCTCCCGACTCCAGTTTCCCATCTCTTGCTTCACAATTGGCGGTTTGATGAACTGCATGTGCTGAGTTTGGTTCTGGGATGTTGTACACAGTATAACGCTCATGTCCTTCAGAAGGGGTGCTGCTCAGCACATGTGTAAAGAACACTTCAAAAAGCCAGCTAGATGGAGCCTTTGCCCTGTGGCTTATGGCACAGGGCCAAGGGATCAGGCTATTTTAATCTTGCTAAGTCATTGTCATCGTCTTTCTTGCCACTTCCCTGTTTGGGGTTGCCGACTTTTATAGAGTTTTTCCAAAACACATGATTGTACACCTGGCTGTCTTGCAAATTGGTCTCTGTAAGGTCTGCTGATATCTGGTCCCTGTACCAAGCCTTTGGCCTCTGCCTTGGTCATCTTCCATCCATGTTTATTGCAGGGGCTGGCCTATCGCTATGAGTCTCAGATCTCTGCTGGACATGTCCATTCCAATGTAGCCTTATCTCCCTCAACTTGTCTTCAGTTGGGGCAATCCAATCTTAGGCCCCTTATAATTTCATTTCATTTTCTGTCACATTTGACCATCTCAACACCTTCTTCTCTGTGATGGAGAGCATTCAGATTTATTTTCGTGTGGCTGGCCAAGTCTTTTTGTTCCGTACATTAGGATAGGTTGAATTATAGTTTTATGTTCTCTTCCTTTTAATTTTACTGGCATCTTTTTGTCACATGTGGGTCAGCTCCCACCATTTGCACGAAGCAGCTTCTGCGCGATGCTGGGGGGCACCATTGTCCGCAACCACTGATCCTAGGTATTCTTTCACTCTCTAAGCCGTCTGCCTGTGATTTCTTTTTATGGTGTGTCCTCCTCCTTCAGCTTTCATCACCTCAGTCTTACCAGCGTTCACTCAACTTTCACCCTGTTGCCGCTGTTCAGAGTTGGTTTGCTGGGTCTCCATACATATCACAAAGTCACCAGCGAACCGTTTATTCCAAGGTGGCTCCCTTCTGATATTCTCATTTATCATGTCCAAGACAAGTGCAAAAAAGTGGATCCGCAGTGCAGGCCAACATTTACTGGAAACTCTCTGCTGCAGCCCCCTTTGATTTTGACTGTGGCAGTTACTCCATTGTCTATATCACGGACAAAAAGGACGTATCCTTCTGGCACACCTCTCCATCACAAACTCCACCAAACTAATTCTCTTGGTACACAGAGGTGCTCGGATACTCGGTCTCGTGAATTCTAGAACCTACCTATATACTCATTCATTAGCCCGTTCATTTATAAGCCGACTCCCCAAGGTGGATAGGTAAAAATAGTAAAAACTGTATCTGTATGACCCTTTCATAAGCCGACCCTATATTTCAGGGGTTGGAAAACTTTGGCTCCCAGCCCATCAGGGTAAGCCGCTGGCAGGTCGGGAGGTTTTGTTTACCTGGAGTGTTCGCAGGCACGGAGCCCCTCAGCGTGCCACTTCCCACAGCTCCCATTGGCTGGGAACAGCGAACTGAGGGGCTCCATACCTGCAGACGCTCCAGGAAAACAAAATGACAATGTATTAGATATTCAATTCAATGATTTCATAGAATTTAAAATCATCAAATTTTGGTGTAGGCCTGTTTATAAGCCGACCCCTGCTCTTTGATGTGTCCCTTTTTTACCAAAAATATTCGGCTTATGAACGAGTATATACGGTACATTTTGGAGTAAATTTAACCCTCCCTTTTTTAATTCGCGGTAAGCATACATAAAACTCTTCTAATGGCAAAAATTGCTGCAGGGAATGCTGATACCTCTAATTCCTGCAGAGCATGTCTATTTAGTTCAGTTTTTATTGAGATCGTGAAATTTTCGAGGTTCATTTCTAGCCCCTGGATTGGGTCTGAGAGAGTGAAAGCTGCTGATGGGTTTTTTTTTACTAATATTTGAGTAATGCTGCTAGGGCGGAAAAATAAACCCTACGTGCAAGCTAAACAGATTACCCGAATATTTGATTCCATCTCTCTCTTGGAAACACACAGCGAAAAACAGCGAGGAAAATGATTTTTATCAAAGCAAAGGGGGAATAAAGCTCAGAAAAACCACTTAGGGGCGGGAAAAAATCTATTCAAGGAGTCTGACTTCAGCCTGAGATAATGGACATTCAGTGCCCATCTTCCTGGCTGCTCGTTCACTTGGTACGATACCATTCCTGCATTATTAACTCTAAGCTGGCTGGTAAATCTTTTCTTTTGTGGGAAGGTGGTGGCTGAAACCCCGGTCAATGAAAGAGCATAAGTGATCCCTCTGTCATTGAAAATAAAGGAGGCATCAGAGCAGCTGGAAACCAGGTGGTTCTTACCAGGTGTTGTGTCGAGAATTACCCACTCTTGGGCCAGGGAGGTGGTTAGAACGGGTGTTTGCCAGCAAGGCAGCTGGGTTGTGTTCTCGGCTCTTGCTCATCTGTGTCACTGGTCACTTTACTGCTTTGTGTCTCTGCCTCCCAGCTGGTAGCATGGAGATACTACCCACTTTTGTAGAGTACTTTGTGATCCTTGACCTCTGAGGCTTGCAAATAGTGCTGAGCGAGCTGGGGTCTGCTTCTCTCCCATGCCCCACGCGCACCCCCACTTTATGTTCCCTGCTGTTTTTTTCCACTCCCTTGTTATAGGACTTTATGTGTAGTAACACCAGGTCTCCCCCTTACAGGCCCTTGCTCTAATCCATGCGGTTTGGATTTCTCCCGCCATGGGGAGCTACTCCTCTGCTTTCTGCAGATTTGACCAGGTTTGAACTTGCACTAGAGAAAAGCTCTAAAGACAAAAGGTGACATCTTGGCCCCGCTGGGTATGTCCACGCTGCAATAAACCACTCAGGGCTGGCCCGTGTCAGCTGACTTGGGCACAGGCTGCAGGGCTAGAAAAACCGCTGGACCCAGGCTATGAGACCCTCCCCCCCTCGGGAGTGACATGCACAGTGAATAGAGACACCATTGTAATTAGGTTTCAGAGTAGCAGCCGTGTTAGTCTGTATCCTCCAAAAGAAAAGGAGGACTTGTGGCACCTTGGAGACTAACCAATTTATTAGAGCATAAGCTTTCGAGGGCTACAGCCCACTTCATCGGATGCATAGAATGGAACATATAGTAAGAAGATATACATACATACATACAGAGAAGGTGGAAGTTGCCATACAAACTGTAAGAGGCTAATTAGTTAAGATGAGCTATTATCAGCAGGAGAAAAAAACATTTGTAGTGATAATCAAGGTGGCCCATTTAGACAGTTGACCAGAAGGTGTGAGGATACCTAACATAGGGAAATAGAGTCAATATGTGTAATGACCCAGCCACTCCCAGTGGCTGTATGAGGAGTGAAAATACCACACACTCGCTTGCCATGAGGTCCCTCCGATCTATTTGCAGGCTAAAATACACACCAGTGCAGGTTTGAGATTCTAGTGGTGTTTTAATACAGCCTCAGGCAGAGCCCAAAATAAGGCCGGCACAGTCTGTCTCTTCCCTTGGGGATACAGAGTCCTTTCTTGTATTCAGTGCAATGCGGTATGTGGGAATTGGTGCGTAGCCTTTCATGCTCTCGTGAGGATACGAAGAGTTTGCAAGCAGTACAGCCCTGATGCTTCAGGGCATAAGCCAGCCGCTGAACAGGTTAGGAAGTAACTTTCCCAATGGCCGGGTTAACCTAGAACTGCCTTCTCCAGGCTTTCTTGCACCATCCTTTGAAGCCACTGGTTGTCTGAGAGAGAGGAGACGGGAGGCTGTGCTGGCTTGGCCCCCTGGTCTGATGCGCTCTGCAGTTGCTGTATGTGGTTGGGGGTTGACCGTACTCTGTCACAGATGCCCTGCCTGAAGCGCCCCCCTTCCAGAGTAGGGGCTCTGGCATGACTACCTGCCTGCCAGTAAGCGGCAGGAGAACAGCTGAGCTGCAAGTGAAGGAAAACCTCTTATTCTGACCAGCAAAGGGCATAAAAATAATGACGGCCCCTGACCACCCCCGGCTGCCATCTGGTGTCTAGGTCCCTCTCTAGAGCAGGGAGTTACTTGGGTTGACGGGGGGGCTGGTGGCTTGTATCTGAGAGGATGCTCTAGCCGTGCCACCTGCTCTTCCTCATGCTTTGAGAGCCCCGGCGTTTCCACGTGAGTGAACGGGATGCGAGCGAGGAGCCGTGCGTAGCCGAACCGTTGTGTTCACCTGTGTTCTCTCCCTCCTCTTACAGATACCATCTTCAAACTCCGAGAGGAGAGCAAGCTTCTCCGGCAGGCCCACCAGGATGTCCACTCTCAGCTGCTTGATGCTCAGGTAATAGATGCTGTTAACAAGGTAGCCAGAACGCAATGGCCTGATCCTGAAGTCAGGTGAATGGTGTTTATAACCGGCTTAGAGCAAACACGCCAACTGGATAAGGCTTCCCAGTTGCAGAGGGACTAATGGCAAGAGGCCTTGTGCTTGTAAAGCCAGTTTGGTCTAGTGACTCAGTGCACCTAGACCTTAAATCGGAGACTGGGCTTTGCTGCCGGCTGAGATGAGATGAGGAATCTCCTGACCTTAAGGTTTCCCAGGGCTTTCCACTGTTGCTGGTTTGTGCCCTGGCCTCTTGACCAGCACTAGTGGCTTTCTAAAGTGTTGTGCTTGCAGAGTGCTTTGAGAAGGTGCTGGGGGGGGCTGAGCAGTGGTCTCATTTGAAGTGTGTGATACTAGGAAGGGAGGGGATTTATTTAGGGGCGGTCACAGGAGGTCTGGATGAAGCTGAACACAGGGAAATGTGAGCAGAGCATCCCAAGAATGAAAAATATCCCCCCGGGGAATAAACTCTGAACTGAAGTGACGGGAGCATCATCCTTGGAGTGCTTTAATTAGCCAGAGCCCTAGGGAATACTGAAGGGAACAGCTCTCCACTGGCTGGGGCATGGCCGGCTCTCCCAGGTGGGGCTTGTCTGTGGAGTCAGTGGTGTACACTGAGTTGCACCATAGACTTTCCTGACTCTGGCTTTCCCATCCCAGTGGGATACCTGAATGGAGAGGACCGACTGGATTTCATGTATAGACTGGGAGGCCATCTGAAAACGAGGGGTGAGGACTCCCTAGCATCTTCCGGAGGTCGTTTGTTTTTAAACAGCAGAAAGAAACCCACCTTCTTTGCTCCCAGTGCCTAAGAGCTGGACGGAAATCTGCCACAACCCAGGCCCTTCGTATGTTCAGTATTTGTTTAAGCTTTGTTCGGGAGACGATTCTTGAAGGTATCTTCCATTCCATTTCCGATGCCCTACCTTTTGGGTTCAGCCTAGGAGGGGCTGCAGCACATCCTCCAGCTCCGAGGCTTTTAATAGAGCCCCCGGCCTTTCAAAGGGAACTGCTGCTCCATTACTACCTTGATGGATCATTCATTGGGGAAGCCTCTTGCCAGCTGAATTTTCTTTTTGTCTCTTCTTCTGAGGAGGGGAAGACAATATCCAGCCCCAGTGTCCAGATCAGCTCTGCCCTCCCTCCTCCCACCCCAGCTCGGTTCTATGGCAATGAGACATGCAGCCTTCCGGCTGTAAGTGGGCTGTTCAATGCAACTGGAAGCTGTTACCCTTTGATGCTCTGTGTGCAGTGACTTGATGGTCTCAGCTGAGGGGTCTGCGTTACAAGACCGATGCTGCAACTGACTCTCCTCGGTGCCCTGCTCAGCAGTCTCAGCACAAAGATGAGGGTTGAGGCAGGTCTGGAGGGAGGTGTTGGGGAACATTGCTCTGATCCTGTTCATGTTGTGTCCACTTTGTTCGCTAAGGGAAGCCTTCAGCCTCCAGGGCTGCCCCTCAGTGCTCTTCACCAGCACGGAAATCACTTGGAACGGCTGTTTGTTTTTTCTCTCTCTGCTCTAGCACAAAAGTCTGTTACACAATTCACAGATTAGGCAAGGGAAGCAGCCGGTGTGGTTTTAATTCAGACCATCCAAAAGTGTCTGGCAAGTCCCCCAAGGATCTACTTACCTCTAGCACTCAGCTCTCTGTATTATGGAGCCTGGAGTCCTCCATGATCTGCTTTTTTCAGTCTGAATCCTTTGGAAAGAGCTTCGCAGCCTGTGTTCCTGCAGGGGCTTTGTGGGGTTGGTTGTACGGACATTTTCCCATGACATCTTTTAATTCTGCTTATCCCAAACTGACCCAACCCCAATATCATCTCAGAGATCAAAGGTTACACTGATCTGGGACTTGTTCTGTTAGGCCCAGAATGAGTCCCAAGACTATCATGCTACTAGAACGGGAATCAAAACCCTTGGCTTTGGGGAGGAAGAGATTCAGGAACATCTGCTTGTAAGGTGATGAACAAAAACCCTGAGCTGGGGAGAAATCTGGATCTGAGCTTTGGGGCTGAGGCCCACCGCTATGCTAGACTAAGAGACCAGTATGATCCTGGCAAGGTTTTGGGTCCCCTAGTATTAGGGACAACTGTTCTGCACTCTTAAAGGGTGGTAGCAGGGTGTGAGACCACTGACCGTGAGATCACGCCACTCTGATTAGCAGCTTGCTTCTTCCCCAGCCACTGGAGTTCCAACATATCTTTGCTAAAATCCTCTGAGCCCCTGTTCTCAAATGGTCTGAAGTCTCCACTGCTAATCCTAGCTCTTGATGCAAGCAGCTCTTCAGGGATTTGTGTTTTCATTAGGTGTTTGCGTGAGGCATATCACGATGGGGAGCCTGGATCCCTAACTGAGGTCCATAGACACGACCATCGTGCAAACAACAAATGACAAATACAGGCGGCTGCTGAACGTCTCTGGCTGAGATGGCTGCAAAGGTGCTTTGGTTGGTGGAGCAGGACAGATGCTTTCAGGACCCGTAAACCTCTCCGAGCACTGGGCTGGGCCCAGCCCTTGGAGTCACAATGATCCCTGCTGCATGACTGAGACAGTAGTAAGCATTAACCAACCTCTCTGTGGGTTAATTCCTCCCGCAATAACCAGCGTGTGTCATTAAACCCAGATCTCAGGAACGTTTCCATCCCGAGTGGTGTTCGGTCACCTTCTGCCGACGGCTATCCAATTAACTGCAGAGAGAAATAGTGCAGGGCAGTCCTGCCTGGTTGAGACAGGGACTTGCTTGGGAATACAAATAGGCACTCGCAAACGGTAGAAAATGGTTCTCCGGCTGCTTCGTGCGCTGATGCTTTTGCAGAGGGGGAGGCCTTGGAAGGGTTCCTAAGAGCGACACCAACAACATGTCCTTGTTCAGCTGTAAAAGCTGCCGAACGGGGGTTGAGTTTTTGAGGCAGGGGGCAGAGAGGGAGGCCTGAAGCGCAAGGAGCATGTAACGCATGCAGGTTTCCTGGAGAGGCGCTTGCGATCAACACGGCCCCTGAATCCCAGCACATTGCAGGAGTCCCACTGCTCCAAGGCAGGGCTGGGAGCCCCGGGGCCCCCATTACGGGCAGGCACTGCATTTCCAGTGCGGCACTGCGCAGACCGGGACTTTGCAGATTACCGAGGGACAGGAGAGACCGAGGGGGAGATCAGTGTCTTTCTGAGGCCCTCGAAATGAGCCAGACCCTCCAGCTGCTTTGTCAATATATTTTCTGAAGTCATGTCACCGGCTGGATTAACGTGTTCTGTTGCTAATTAACAGCCTGCTGTCACACTCTCCTGGGCTGTGCGCTAAGCTCAGAAGCGGGGAGCTGGCTGTGGCCGGATGCGGCTGACAGCCAATCCTTCCCCTGAGCCAGGCGCCGGGGGTGCTAAGGGCTGGAGGGGAGGGGATTTTTCTTCCCCTTATCTGCAACATTATTCTTGTTTCCTGGCCTGCTCTGCTCTGGATGGCTCCAGGGAGTGCCAACATCACGAAGGGTTCATCACTTCAGGTTAGTTCCCTGAATCCAGCGCCGGCTGTTGGCTCAAGTCCAGGTCTCTGGATCTGAACGCAGTTGCTCTGTGACAGCTGTTTGCTGGCCCATGTGACATTTAATTGGATGGATGAGGGGGTAGCTGAGTAAATTTCCCCATGGGCAGGTGCCCAAACGACCGCCAATGTACTCGGAGACTAGCCTGGTGGTTGAACTGCCTTTCCCCTCCTCCTCATGGCTGAGGCAGGTTGGTGGGACGGCTCGCACAGGCCCGGTCCCTGATGTGCCCAATAAATAAAGGACCTCAGTCAATCCAGCTCCCTCCACTGGGGCCTACTTCTGTCTCTCACTGTTTCACAAATTCTGGACAGCACCCGCTCATTCCTTCAGGGAGTGGTGGGCGTTGTCTGGCGTCTTCTGCCTGGTGTCTCCAGCTGGTGCCCTTGTATTGACCCTCACTCCTATGCCTGTTGTTGTTCTGAGAAATCAGCTGGATCCTGGTGCTGGTGACCCTCCCTCAGTTTGGGGGCGGGGCTTTAGTTTTGGGTGGGCCTAGGCCCTCCCGCCCGAGATTTAAATAGGCCAGCATCCTTAACCAGCACCAAAACCAGCAGGTGATGCAAGCGGCTCCAGACATGTGCCCCTGCCCTACCTGACAGCACCCTTCCTGCAGACTGAAATGCAGCTCAGCTTTGCATCGTTTTGGCCTCTTTACCAAAACTCTCAGAAATAGCCTCAAATGTGGATTTAGTGATGTGGGCACCTGTCCTCTACAAAGCAGTTTGAGACCGAGCCAGCTTGTATAGGCCATTGAACAGCTGGTGAAGGGTGGCAGGTTTTCGGGGTCAAAACCCGAAGTGCTACCGGTGAGAGGCTCCATGTCCGTTACCAGACACCCTTGTAGCTAAAATATTCTTGTCTGGCTCACTAAGTGCTGAGAGCATTTGCACCTTGGCAGCGAATGCAGGATCAAGGGTGAATAATTCTTTAGCTAAGCACCTCTCAAATGCTCTTTCGTGGATTCTGTGCTGGGGATATTATAGCAAAGCAGTTGGGAAAATGAAGCATATTTTATGTGTGTGTGTATCTCTCACACACAAACCCTTTCTCTCTGACATTTAAAAAAACATGTTAAAAGATTATTATGGGTACAAAGTCAAGTACTCGGAAATTAGGAAATGCCAGAACTAAGGCTGCTTGTGTTACCTTATTTCACTCCCTTGTGTTGTGTCCTGTGGAAAGAAGAGTTTGTGATCACACAGTAAAAGACTATCATAATCATGCACAAGAGGGTTGAATTTAGGTTGCCATCGACTTCACTGGGGCCAGGATTTCGCTCTTGGTAGCTAAGCAAGCAGATTCCTGCATCAGCCAGCAATTCTTGTAATCAGTGCGGTGCTGATTTGCACCAATCTTGCCTTCCTGCTGCAGATGACAGGTGAGTGTTCATGCAAAGGGAATTTACAGAGCGTGCTCATTATCCAAGGACTGCAGAGCACTTGGCACGCCTTAGTAAATTGACAGGAGCATTGACTAGCTGGTGTTCTGATAGTACAGAGGGGCGAAATGACTCTCGCCCAAGGCCTTGCAGAGTGAATCAGTCTGTGCCGGGTTTGCTAGAATGAAATCTCTCTGGTTTGTTCTAATCTAGCTAATCTCCTACCAGCTGGGCTGATCCTCTGTGTCCCACAACCCACTCCCTACCTCCTTTCCCGTGCTGCCTTGTCTGTTCTTAAAAAACCACCACTGCCACCCCTGAGGTCAAAGCAAAATATGATCGCAAAGGAGAGACTTGAAATCAACAACCTCTGCTCAAGGAAGTTTCCTCCCAAACTTTCCTCTCTGCTTGGAAGACTTATCGCCCAACTCCGGTTTGGCAATCAGATGAAAAGAATTCCCCTCCCCTCCTCCCATGCAGACTTCCCTATGAATAAAACGGAGAGGCGTGCCAAGCTCCTCCTGAAAGGCTTTTTCAAGCCCTTTCGCTTTCTAGGGTGGGGAGGGAGGAAATGAGCTGATAAGCCGCAGCAAAGAGAAAAGTGTTACATTTGCCTTGGAGTCCAGGGGAATCCATTTTCATTGAAGTAAATTGAATTGTCAAGTAGAATTAAGCCAATTATTGTCAATCCCTCTGAGATGAACTCATCCACTGAGAAATGGCTCCATGGAAAAGAGCCTTGACCCGAACGTACATGTGACCCAGAATGAAAGGGACCAGAAAACCAGAGGTGTAAGTGCAGAAGGAATCCATTCTGCAACATAGGCTGTGAATAGCACTGTTTGAAAAGTCGGATTCATGGGTCAGCATTTCCGATGTAAAAAACGGATGGTGAAAGCTGGACGCCATCAGGCTTGCTGGGGTAGGGAAAAACTGAGTCTGAAATGCGGGACATCCGTGCAGTCAGGACAGATGGGAGAATGACCATGGCAGAGACTAGCTCTTCTTGGGGGCTTGCTGCAGTCAGTGATGGGGTGGTGCTGGACAATAGATGTGAATTCTCTTCAGCTCCTTCTTGCACACGAACGCCCCACCGCAGTCTAGAGGAGAGCAGGACTCTGTAGTGATGACTTTTCCCAGCGGGGAAATATTAACCCTTTGTCACCTGAGTGTTTATTTGCCCTTCTCATTGCCCCAGACCCAGATGGAGGAGTTCAGGCAGCTCAAGGAAGCTCTGCAGAAGATGCCAAGTTTCAAGGAAGTGGGACCTGTGAAGGGGCAACAGCAGCTCCAGGCATTGAAGGAACAGCCCCCGGTGCTGGGCAGCAACCATTTACAGTTCTCTAGGCAGAAGGTACTGTACCCTGGCATTGGGCCTTGCTGGGTTCCAACCTGGGCATGTGAAGTCTCCTGGGGAGAGGAATGCTGCTTGATGGGGTGGCTGAGTACCTGGGGCTAATTCTTCTCCCTTCCTGCTCTCCGTAATTAACACAGCCTTGTAAAATTCTTCCTTCTCTCCTCCTTCCAGGTGTTTGCAGCCAACGGGGCCAAAATTCCGCTGAGCCCTGTGGATCAGGAGAAGCCCCCTGGAGGGAGCCTGATGAGACCACAGATCTCTGGGGTCAGGAGCCAGGGAGAGGGAACTTTGCCCCAAGGCCAGACCTCGCGTAATAATGATGGCCCCAGGCCCCAGGGCAATGTGCTGTTCGCCCATCCCGCCCCACTGCAGGAAGCCAACCCACCACCAGCAGCCCTGCCTGCCTGGCCACAGGGGCACGGGGACAGCCCTGTGATCCGATTCACACGGACAGTGAACAGTGTGCAGAATGGGAACTCGGTAAGTGGAGCGCAGTCAGCTGTGTAATCCAGGCCGGGACCTAGGGAGAGCCTGTGACACTAGACAGCACAGGCTGGGAGCTAGGGAGTGAGCGAGAACCACAGGGTCTGTTTGGGTCCAGCAGCCTCATTTTAAATTTGGAAGTGAAACCAGCCCCCTGTCCTGGGAAGTAGACATCGTTCAGCACAAAAATGAGTCAATTCCTGCAGTCTGTAATGAAGCAGTGGGGCCCGCAGCCACACACACGTTACGCACAGTGCATACCCTTGGCAGGGGACATGGCTGCCCAGAGGGTGGGTCCAAAAGGGCAGTTTGCCCCAGGCTCCCATTTGAGGGGGCCCCCAAACCGAGTGGCATTGTGACCCATTGTGCAGTGCCTCAGCGCCACTCGGGTTTGGCTCTGAAGCTCCTCCATCAAGACGGAGTTGCCAGGTCAAATTTTGGTGAGTGGCTCTGCGATCTCGCGTGCTGGGTCATGACGACCAGAGTGGGGAGTCAGGCCCCGCCACCACTGCTGGGTGAGTGCGCCCCAGGTGAAAAATGTCAGGGGGTGCCTGTGCCGTGAAGTGTGGCAAACTTTGAATTCTGAGCAGCTTTGCACTGGAATCTGACCGTTTCCCTAAATATTAATGTGCACCCCCCATTTTCCAGTCCCCAGAGTGCTGTGACACGGTTTAATGGGCTACTCTGCAGCAACTGCTGCCCCTAGATTCATTGTGAACAAGCAGGGTGTTTTTATTTCTGTTGATCGTGAGAGATGACTTTTTTCCTCCCCTGGAGTCTGACCGCTTTTGGTTTCCAGCTTTGGTTTCCATTTGCAGATTTCTTCCCTCTCTCGCTCAGTCTTCAGGAAACCATCCTTTGCGCGGTGTTTGCGTTTCCTCTTCCCTGGGTGCTCTCCTCCAGGGGGAGAGTGCTGACTGCAGCCTGCGGGGCAGCCAAGCAGGACTTAATGAAGTGGTCGGACTGTTTCTGCTTCTCATTTTCCCTGTTCTCGCTAGACTCTGAGTCATTCCCTTTGCAAACTGCTGGTCAGTAGTTCAGAGAAGGGCTAGAGCTTGCAGTCCTATGGCAGCGGGGATTCCTGCTCCTGGGAGGATACTCGCTCTGCAAATAGGTCGCCATGGGTGTCTTCATCTAACCTCATCCTGTCTACCCTTCTTCGCTGTCTAGCTACAGTCCAGAGGTGGACCTAGGGCTTCAGCCACATACTAGGAGGATCCTGTCCACTTGCTCCAATGGGCTTTGGATGAGGCCCATAAAATCCATGGGGATCAGCTACAGGCTGGTTCTTCTGCTGTGCGGTCAGTGGAATGGACTCCACCATCAGCCAATGGACAGGGAATTAGTGGGTGACCAGCCAAGTCCTCTCCTTCTCCTTTTCATTCATCTAGCTCCGGAGGGCACTGCTCATCCATATTTATCCTAGTTATTCATGGCCTTTTCTATTGCCCTCTTCACCATGGCATCGGAGCACTTTGTGGCCATCATGAATTTATCTGCCCAACACCCCCCTTCACTGTCCCGTAAACCCCCCCCCCCGCCCAATGAGGTGGGGGAATATGATCATCCCCATATTGCAGCTGTTTTAGAGAGATTAAGAACCTTCTTTCCCGAGGTGCTGAGCACCCACAGCTCCCATTGACTCCCACCAGTTAGCGACTCTCCTGGTACCGCACAGCAAGTCTGCGGCAGAGCCAGGAACCCACATCTCAGGGTCCCACGGTGATGGGCAGGTAGAGCTAAAAATGCTGCCTTAGCCAGGTGTAGGTACCCGCGAAGTGAAGCTGGGCATTGGTGTATGCGGGAAGCCTGGAGACGGGGGTGGGGGACACATTCTAGAGTGCAGGTGGGGGAAAGAGGCACCAGAAATCTTGGCTGTTGGCCGTGTTGGTCCCTGATCAGTCAGTGCCTATTTCTCTTTCTGTGCATCACTGCAGGCATCTTTTATGCAGCCTCTGGTTGGGGACCCCCAAACTATATTTATGTTTCAAACCACATGTGGATGTGGATTTTCATGGCTGGCCTGGTCCAGAAACACTCTTGGTCTCAGCCTTGAGTAAGGACATCCTGTATGTACTCAGGAGGATGGTCCAGTGACTAGGGCCCTGGCCTGGGACTCACAAGAATGGGTTCAACTCCCTACTCTGCCATAGACTTCCTGTGTGACCTTGGACAAGTCACTTGACGCCTCAGTTCCTCATCTGTAAAATAGAGTTGTTAATAGCACCGGCCTGTCTCACAGAGATGTTGTAAAGATGAGTAAGTGTTAATTACATCCTGACAAACCAAACCACAGTGTAATAACACTAATCGCAGTGTAGTTACATAGTAATTACTGTACCCTTGTTTTAAGGTGTGACCATAGGATTGCCCTTTTGTCCCATGGGCATTGGCCTGCTGAGGACAGGGCAAGTACATTTCACATAGCCCGCCCAACAGAAAGGTATTTTTCTTAACTCTCTGGGACATGAATTACTTTCCTTTTCTCAGAAAATGGTAGCATGGCTGGCAGGGAATGCATCTCCCCTGCAGAGCAATTCCTGTCCCAATGTTCCCTGATGAAGGATGTGATCCAAAACCAGGAACCTTCCAAACATAAGGCGGCAGTGCGGGTCCAAGAGGCCAGGTAGATTGTACAGATCTTTGTCCTCTCTGCAGGATCACAAGGTGGTGGTGAGCATTCAGGGGAAAACCAGTGAGGAAAACCATGCTCCCAGACGGGTGGTGCCCCATCTGAAACACCCATCTACGTTGGAGAAGGAGGCGGCTCCAGCCAACCATCCCTTGGCAGGGAACAAACAGGTGCAGATGCAAAGGTTTGTACTGCAGGTCTCTGCTCTTACTCTCAGAGTTTAGGGGGAAGAATGCTAAAGAAAGTCATCAAGACTGGCCCATTGAACTCTTCCCCTTGCTGGGGTGTTCAGTGTTATCTTCCATATAAAGAGCTGCAAATGAAGACTCCAGGTCCTAGCATGCTCTGCTCTTTCTTGATTTGCCCATGAAACATCCGTCTTGCTTCAAGCTGCAGGCCACTCGTGTCAAGATGCAGCGCTGCATGCTAGGACGCATGGCCTGGTGGGTTCCATTTCCATGTGAAAGGGGAGGGCAACAGGGTGCCATGTTGCGGAGCTCTCCACGGGCTGCATTTAGCCAGCAGGGTGGGCTTTGTCTACCAGTCCTGTAGGTGTTGTGCAGTAAGGAGAGACAGAGGAGCTTCTGTTGAGCAGGGTGCAGGGCATGGATTGAGTCTTAGCTGGAAGAAATGGCAGAGCAGAATTTTGAGTTGACTTCTGCCAGCCTCTCTGCGGTGGGGAACTTAAAAATAAAAATGGTGTTGTTTAGCAAGCTGAAGAAATACAGCAAAGTGGAAGCCAGACATCTTCGGCAGCAGGGCCGTTAAGGGATCCCATCAGCTTCTCTAATTAAGAGGCGTTAAGCTGTGTATTAAAGCTGAGGTTCACTCATGTTTTCCACTAATTAATTAGTAATCCATCAAGCTCTGTGGGAACAATCAAAGCAAGATCTGAAGGCTTGTCATCTTCAAGGTTATATGGTAATCAAGAAGTAGCAGGCAACTGGCCCCAATTGAGATGCTGACTTCTCCTGGCTTTGCATCTGGGTTTGAGGTGAAGGTTCTATCCTCTTCTCATTTGTGGATTTTCTTCCATCTTGTGGATGGAGCTGTTGCTTGGGTCCATGTCTCCATCATACCAGCAGGGGAAGCTTCTTTGAAGAGCCTTACATGACTGTAAGGTGGACACCTAGACCTTGTCTACATATAAACATTGCACTGATTTAAAATGTTTGTTAAATCTCTTGAGTTAAATTCTGGTGCATTCTCCTGAGTAGATGCACTTGAATTTAGGTGAGGCTTTCGTATGGAAATTTCCAAGCCTCTTGAGGGGCTGTAGTTTTTATTAGACAAATGCAGAAGGCCTCTTTGTACATAGCAACCTCCATCACTCAGCCTTCATTCCCTGGTATAGGGGAGAGGAGACGAATGCTCTCTGGGTAATTTACAAATAAAGGTGGATTCAGAAGTAGGTGGATACCGTTACACTCAGATCATGAAATGGATACTTATTGTTTGTATTGCGCTCACGCTTAGGAGTCCCAGTCACAGACCGGGACCTGTTGTGCCAGGCGCTGTACAAATACAGAACAAAAATACTGTCCCTGCCGCCAAAGAGCTGACCATCTAAGTGAAGATCTCTGCTGACCAGTTAGCAGAATGAGCATTCTGCGTGTGAAAACACTTTCTGATACTGCAGTTCTTCCAAGTTTGGCTCTGATCCAAAAAGAGCATCTTTCTCAGCTCATCAGCTCCCTACATATCTCCAGGTTACATCTACTTACTTTACTGAAACAAACAAGATGTGGTTCCTGTTAGATCTGCAGCTGCAGTCAAGCTGGGGGAGAGACCGCTTCTGAATTGTCAACTGAGTTCTGATGGGGATAGTAACAGTTCGTTTCCTCCCTCTTGTTCTTGTTCACTTAGGTTGCCAGCTCCTCAGGGCAAGCACTGCCTCTTCTTATGTATCTGTAAAGCATGTAGCCCAGTAGGGCCCGGGTCTCAGTCTGGTCCTCTACGTTCCACTGAGACAGCAATCGTACTAATAACCTGGATTTAAGAAGCAAACTGGCTTTAAGAAAATATACTAGACGGAAGGGGTTCTGTTGTGACGGGGCTCCAGAGCCATGAAAGTCAGTGGAGGTGGGTGTCACTAAAGGCACCAGCGCTGTATGTGGTTGCATATAACACTTACTGGTGACAAACTCCCCTCTGTAAGTCCGAGCACGCAAGCGTTGAGCTGTTCGGCACATGGAGAAGGAGGCCACAGCATGGCACAGACCCAGCATTCTCCCTGAATGGATCTAAGGTCAAGAAGTCGTCGGAGCAGCTAGGGACTGTCCTATTACCTGGATAGTGCGTGAGGGGGTGGGGGAACATCAAAGTGACATTCTCTTGGAGATGTCCGTGCCAAAAATAACACGCAGCCTGCCAGAGGCAAAGAAGCCATTTGTCCAACGTGAGGAATTATTGCAGGGGTGGATTAGATCAGCAGATTCCAGAGAGGCCCTTGATAGTTGATTTACATTTTGATTGTTTCTGTGGTGGGTGATCCAGGATGATATTCTGGCTGCAATTTCCTTTCTAAAAGCTTGCGCAGTGGCGGTGTGCTGGCTTTAAATGCAGCAGCTGAGCCTGGTGGGAACAGGCAGAAGGGAGCTGGTGTTGGCGAGCTGAAACCACTTCCACACAAGGGTTCAGGGAGGACAGACAAGTTCTACAACAAACCAGGAACCAAATCCTAGCGTGGCTCCAGCTGGCTAGGCACCAAGAATTCTGGGATACGCCCAGAAATCCTCGCGCCAGGCACAGGTAGCTGCAGCCCCAGTGGGGACACAGGTCTACAGAGTATAGGGCATGTATGGCATAGCAATGTGGATTCTCGGAGGCGGGTTTAGCTAACGTGCTCACATGCGCATGAGCCAGGACCCAGGGCAAACCTGCAAAGTAGACATATGAGTTGAATGCACCAGTCCCACTAATTTTAATGGCAACTGGGTGTCCAAATCTCTCAGGCAGATTTGAAAATCTCAGCTGGTGTGTGCATCTGAATTGGGGATCTCAGGCTGTATAAAGGAGGAATCTGATCGTGAACTGAAGCCGTTTTTTGAGGTTTAAAAGTTCTGGTAGTGCCCATCATTTTTCACTCCTGAAAGTCTCCGTGCCTCTGGGATTGGTGATGGAAGTGGTGAAATGTTGCAAGGGTTTGTAGCTGTTCTGGAGAGTTTCCCCTGCTGCTTTCCCAGGAACAAAGTGTTCAGAGAAGCAAACTGGTCTTCTGGGGGCTTTCCCTGGATTCTGAACCTTTAGGTTCACCCCCTAAAAATTTGAAGTCGTTCCTCAGAAATCAGGGCCACGTTCGGGTCTGGTGTAGGTAGGTGCCACTCGAGTGAATCTCAAGGTCTGGGTTTGGCTCTTAGTGTGTTATAGATCTTCAGAAGCGCGAGGCTAGGTGCTTGGGTGATTTGAATCTTGTCCATCATGTGGCGTTTCTGCAATGAGCTGGGTGGAGAACAGACTCCCTTGTTGGAGAAGTCTGGGCCATCTTTGTACCCTGCATAAAAGACACTTCCCTCTGGCACTGGATGAGAACGTCTGCATAGGTATTCTACCTTAAACACCCCCTACAGCCCCCTCCACAATCCATCTCTGCATCTGTAATGCACATTTATAGACAGGGAGTGGAGCCTCTGACTAGCCATGTAGAGATGGGCTTCTGAGCTCAGTGGCTGGTACAGGTACCATGCAGAGATGGCAGCATTGAGGAGAAGGGTATGGCATTTAGCATTTGTCCCGTTGCCAACCATCATTAAAGCCTTGTTGTGCCAAGAGGGAAGCAGACAGACAGACAGTGGATGCAGGTAGCAACAGGCGCATGTTTGAGGCATAGCATTCACAGGGAAGGATCAAACTCCCAGCCTAGCTCATGGCTGGCCAGAAGGAGCTGCCCATTCTTCCCCAGAGCTCAGAGTCAGGCTCGCAGGCTGGTCGCAGAGGTTGGGCGCTAACAGAGACAGACACCCTACCACCACCTCCCCGAAAGAGGACACCCAAGTAGACTTTTTCACCACAACATCTGTCACAATTATTACAAAGAGCTTATGAGAGAGATTTTATTAAAATAGACAAGGAAAAGGCTATCTGCCGTGCTACACTACAAGAAGTTCCTTATACAGTAAAAGTGGAGCTATCTGGCACTTTACCAGCTAGAAAGCTCTATAAACCGGAATTTCTGATCTTCATTGAAAGTCTGGTTTATAGTCCGGTTGGTGCGGGGCTGGTAGGCTCTCTACCTGGCTCCGTGTGGCTCCCCGGAAGCGGCGACGTGTTCCTGCTGCTCCTCAGCAGAGGAACAGCCATGGGGGGCTCCGTGCACCGCCCCTGCCCTGAGTGCAGGCTCCGCAGCTCCCATTGGCCGGGAACTGTGGCCAATGGGAGCTGCAGGGGGGGTACCTGTGGGCAGAGACAGCTCACAGAGCCATCTGCTGCGCCTCCTCCTAGGAGCAGTGGGGACATGTCGCAGCTTGTGGGGAGCTGCCCAAGGTGAGCGCTGCCCAGATGTGGCATCCCGAAACCCCTCCTGTGCCCCAGCCCTGAGCCCCTTCCCACACCCAAACTACCTCCACACCCCAACCCCCTCCTGCATCCTGAACCCCTCATCCCCGGCCCTACCGTAGAGTCAGCACCCCCAGCTGGCACCCTCACGCCTCCCGCACTCAGCCCCCTGCCCCAGCCCAGATCCCCCACCTGCACCCTGAACCCCTCATTTCTGGTCCCAGCCCAGAGCCCGTATCCCCCCACACACACCCTTTCTCCCTGCCTCATCCCGGAAAATTGGTATTCCATCAGTAAGTATAACTCTTAGTGAACCGGAATATTTGACTAACTGGCACCCCCCCATTCCCCCAACATGCCGGATGACAAAGCTTTTACTGGATCGTTATTTTTCTTAAAAAAGCTTTCTACACTCGTAGTTCAAAACTCTACAGTTCTCAATGATGATTCTTCAGAGTTTGGACCAATTACTAGAAGACTGTGGTACACGTAGCATTATTACTTTTTATGTCTCAGCCTTTATTTAGAGGACTTTTGGTTTGGTATTTTTCCAAAAAGGCAAATTTATGCCTTCTAATATGTGGGAAGCATGAAAATGTATCAATTTGGAGTTAGAAAATATTGCCACTGCTATATGGATAATTTATCACAGGGCATGAATAAGAGATTAAAGCAGTTCTAACAATACATTGCATTTATAAAGCATATTTTATTTGGCATTTGTGTAGCATATTAATTGTTCTGTAGCTTTTTCATGTAGCTTGAAGGGATAACTAATTCTATTGGCCCCTTTGCCGGAGATGTACAATTAGGCAGGAGTTTTGCATGTGTGGGAGGTGGGTTTCTCTTTGTGTTGGTTTGGTTTTTTTTTCCCCTGCTTGCGTTTAGATTATGAAATGCCAACAAGCTGTGTGGCTTGTTCTGTTTTTATTTCTTTCTTTGCTGTAGCTGGCAAGACATTGTTAACAAAGTGAACGCCCGAATGGATGAGGAACAAGTGCACGGTTACCCAAAGCACCTTCACTTTGACACCAGATCTGAGCAGAATGGCAATCTATTGCTGGCCAATCAACAAAGAGGGGCAGAGCATGCGATAGCCAATCGGGAAGGAGACAAGGAAGGGACGGATGATGAGGAACTTGAGATGGGTATGGTTTCCAAAATGCAGTGAAGTACAATAATGACCTGAGCTTACCAAGGGGGAGGTTTTTGAATAAAGGAAGTCTCTCAAAAACTTGAAGAGAAATTTTAATTTGAAATTTTTGTCAGGAGATATCATGTATTTTAAATAATCCAAACTTGGTCATTTTTGCCCTAGTTTCTAGTCCCTTTTGTTCCCTCTGCCTCATGCCCTAGCTCGGTCCTGTTTAGTTTCTCAGCATTGCAGGAGAATGCTTGCCGCCCCCAGTGTCTCTAGCATTAATTCATACACTCCCCCGTTGTTCCTGGGAGGACTCCCATTCAAATACTGACATGGCCCAGCCCTGCTTAGGGTTAGCGCCGATAGGCTCAGAGCACAGATAAACCAAGGCATGTTTCGTTGTGAATGAGGTACAATTGCTAGGAATTTTAAAAACTCTTCTCCTCCCTGCCTTGCAAAGTGCAGAAATGGAGCCTGGCTCTGGGAATCACCTGACATCCTCCCTGCTCCTGTGTCCGGGAGGAAGCATGCGTAACATCTGCAGTCCCCTTATGGATGACTAAGGAGTTTGTTTTCCTAGGGATAGATGGAGGAAGGACCAGCCTCCTGTAGTAATTTACAGGAGAGGCTGTTGCCCTTATTCTCCTCTGTCATCGGAGGAGTGCAGCGCATCGTCTTGTTATTGGGGATAGGGTGGCCCTTTCATCCAACCTTGACCTGTCCCCTTTCTCCAGGCCATGCACGTCATACGCACTAAAGCAATGTGCCAGGAATTCACACAGGCTGCGGCAGTTTGTTTCCTGTCTATAAGAGAGGGATGGAGAATCCCCTTCCACTGTGTCTTGCAAAACTTGAGTTCAATCTCCCATGTGATTTTATTATTTTTTTTTTTTTTTGGAAGAGGGATTCCAATCTCAATCATGGCGATGAATTTCCCAGTATCCTTTGGGGACGAAGCGCAAGCCATTTCAAAGGCCAGCTAATTCCTTTAGTCAGTCAGACAACTGCAGCCGCTGCAACTATCTTGGAAGACTCAAAGTCTGTGCGTCTGAGCAGCTGGGGGAGACCAGCCCTCAAACCATTTGGCACATGTTAGAGTTGTATCCTCTGCCACTCCAAATGCATTCAGACTCCCCAGACTGGCTCGGCCAACTAATAATGTATTTGCAAGGGAAGCCATTAAAAAGGGGAGAAGGGGGAAGCATTTGACCTGGTCTGACCCATCATCAGGCCAGGAATCTGGTTCATGAATAATTCACCAGCTGAGGTTTGCGAGGGAGGAGCCTTTATCTCTGCTTCAGTTCACAGGCACAATGTATAAATATTGTTACGCTGAAGGTTGGGCGATGGTACCACGTCATTGTTATCATGCAGGACAGCTTCAGTCTTCCAAACAGGGGAACTGAGGGAACAATGAATTGCACCTCTGTTTAGTGATAGCTGAAACAATAGAACATGATTGCCCAAGGACTAGACTGCTTTCAAGCCTGGGCAGTGGGTGGGCCATGTGGTTCCAGGAGTTTCCTGGGGATCTGATAACAAATGCAAGGATGAGGGATATATTTGATTGTAGCCGTGCATCTGTGTGCAGGAGAGAAGCGGCAGAAACACCTCAAACAGTGAAGGCAACAAGGAAACCACAGAGACGGCGAGAGAAATGTGTGACCTTGAGGGGGAAAAAACGAAAGTGAGAGCTTTTGAGCAGAATGCTGGCTGGAATCTTTGAACAGAGAAACTGTCTCGCTGCTTTTTGATTCCTAGTGTGTTCAGGGAAACAGGACTTGATGTACGTTCTTTGTAAATAAACAGGATTGCATCAAAGAAATACCTGACTCCATCATCAATTTCTGTCCCTAACTGAAACAATCCACAAGATCCCAAATATTGATTAACTGCTCGGATCTAAAAGGCTAACCGTGTTAATGCAGATTTGATCAATGCAACTGAATGGGGTTACTAGACCAAGCTGAGCTAACAAAGTCTCCGTTGCCTTTGGTCAGTGACCTATATCTAACTGTCACTGGGATTCTGAATGCAATATTCCTTAGGTTGCCTAGTGGGTGGAGCAGGAAGTTTAGGAGTCAGGACTCCTGGGTTCTATCCTCAGCCTCTGGGGATCTGGGTTCAAATCACAAGCGAAAATGAGTTTGGTGGTCTCAGCCTGAACCCTTGCCAGTGGATTTTGGCACAGTTTTCATTCTCTGCTCAGGAGAGGGCTCGGATTAGGAATAGCGGTGGTGGTGAGGGGCAGAGATGCAGGTTGGTATGACTAACAGAGGCTTAGATAATAAGGCCATAATAAAGATAGGGAGGAAAGGTCTAGATCATTGGGTCAGTGCCCTTCCAGTGCAGGAGAACCTCTCAAATATTGGACATGTTAGATATTAAACTGATCCTGTGCTGATCGGGTCCAGACAACTGGACACAGAGAAGTGTGGGGGTTGTGTGAGAAAGAGAGGAGAAGCCATGTTCTTGTTTCAAAGCCCGGATGCTTTGTCCCTTCCCATAGAAGAACCCAGCTGGTATTTCATCTTTAAATGACCTGCTTTCGACAAGTTCCCTCAGAACAATCAAACTAATTGCCTCACATCAAAGCAAACTCTTCTTTGAAGGAAACAGGCTCGCACTGGGGGGGTGGGGATGGGGGGAGTGTTGGGACCAGCAGGACTTGGCCTCCACGTCTTAATTGGGATTAACGCCTTAGGGAACGACTTTACAGCCCAGGCCATGAAACTATCTAATTGGGAGTCCTGTTGCCTCTTGGTCTCTTACTTAATGTTTCAAGAGGGAAAACTTGGCTAATGCTGATGACAGACAGCACAGAAACACTGACCCAACTCCCTGCCTCCGGCCTTCGTTAAGGCCATTCTTGTCAAGGATTGTTAGGAGAAGGATAATAAATGATGGGCTGTCAAAATGGGCGATTAGTGCTCAGCTGTCTTCCCACCCCCGGGGTCCTGAGAAGCGTCTCAGGCAGAAATACTACTTTTCTGTTGCTTGTTTTTGCTACTAAAAACGCATCCAGGCCTCAAAGACACCGGGTCTAATGCAGCCAGACTTGGACCACAAGCCTGGAGGGAGAACCATCTCTGCACGCCAGGATTAGAGATTACAGCAAATGAAGCTGTTTAATGGGAGAGGGGATCATTTCTGAATGGGGGGATCATCTTAGAAACTCATCTCATGATTCTGTTAGCACCCCGTGGTTCCCTCCAGCGCGCGCTGCTTTACACCCCCGTCTGCCATCTTGTGGTCGCCATGATTCTCATTGGGATGTTCTTCACAGCTCATAAACCCAGCTTCTAACTGGCCAGAGCCCAATGGGATGCCCCTCCTTTGCTTTGTGCACCCTCAGGGGACCCGGGCGTTGCCTCCTCAGTTCTCCCAGCTCCTGCCAGACTGGGGGGTGAAGGAGTGGGCGCGGCACCTCGCGTTCCCTCAGAGAGCTACAGATTGGTGCTGCATCCGTCCCTTGGGACGCACTTGCCTGTAGATTACACACCAGGCCGAACGGGGCAGCCTGATCCTGGAGGCTGCTTTGCATCACCCCATCAACCTGCTCTGCTTGCCTCTGCAGTGGTCAGCATGACCATTGGAGCCAGCGCAACCAGATGCGGTAGCTGGACCCACTCGGATCTGGATCCAGATCCGGTGGGGTTTGGGCCTCCCGCTGGTCAAAACAAAGGGCTGTCCAGGGCCCCAAATGTATGACGGGAGAAATAAACATAATGAGCCACCTTGCTTCCCACAAACTGACGCTCTGTGTGGTTCCCCTTTCCTCTCCCCCTTGCCACATGGGGCGCCGGCCTTTCGTTTTCAACCACCAAGCGCCGACGAAGGGCAAAGTGGCGCCGACCTGTAACCCGCCGTGGCACAGCTGGGCTGGGAGCAATGCTCTGACTGGCTGCACAACTGGGTTGTTTCCATGGATACCACCCAGCCTCTGCAGTCGCCCAAGGGACCGAGAGCGAGACTAATTCCTGAACGTACAGATGGAGTGACGGAGCATCCGGTGGCTCAGTAAGCCAATCGCCCTGTGGTGTGACTCCAGCTACCTTGCCACCTAACAGGAAGCAGATGGGTGTAATTGGCACATCAAGGATCGTTAAGCCTCCAAAAAGGCGGCCTTACAAATCCCTTGCCCCCAAAAGCTGTTACTGTTACGTGGAGTTGTCTGTCTTGCAAACTTGACATGGGGAGAACAATGAGTCGAGGCCACTGTCCTACGCAGCACACAAGACGGATGCCAAGATTTGGACCCTGAAACGTTGCACCCATCCCCCCTGCACTGCCAGTCTGTGCCATGTTCCTGGGAGTGTACGTTTGTTTTGGTGTTAAATGTGTTTTCCATTCCTCCTCATGTCATCAGTTGTCAATAGTCGCAGAGGTTTTTTTGTCGCCAGCATGTACCTGCACCATAGATGCCAGGAGAGGTTTTGGCAGCTGGGTAGAGGGGGTTTCTGGCACCCACGAATATGCGGGAGGTGTTTTTGAATTTTGGCACCAAGGAGGCTGTGAAAGTGCCTCTACTAGTGACTTCAGATCTTGGAGGCAGGGGACTGAATTGCTCCTTTCCCTGTTGCCCTTGACAGCAACTAGCTCCCCGAGCGCTGTCCTTACATCCAGCCGTGGCAAATAAGCACGTTAGCTTGATGCCTACTAACATGATCATTGATGAAGCAGTCAGTGTTGACATTTTAACATACTATCGTTAGGCACCAGGATTAACCCGTTACAATGAATGGGGAGCAATTCACACCCCTCCGTGCTATTGTGTCAGACTGTCTGCAGAGACAGGCAGACAACACTGCATCAGTTTCCACTCTATACCTGTTCCATAGTGTGGTAACTAGCCTGCTCTCTGGTTCCAGTGATGCTTCATCACAACCCAATGCGGTGTCTTTCCCAGATAGGCACGAGCGATCAGTTCACTTTCTTTCTCTAAGTGAGAGAGAACTTTCCACAGCGCACGGGACCAAATGGTCACATTGCCAGTGCCCTGTGGGTTTTGCTGGGACGGATTTACTCATTTCATTTTTCTTGCAGATGCTGGGATGATTGAAAGAGAAGAGGATATCCACACCCGAAAAGAGGCATTGGTCCAGGAGCCAATGGTAAGAGACGTCACCATGCTGTCATCACTTGAAGCTGATTGGACACCAAACTCTTCCATTCAAGCAGAACCTTTCTATTCTCGCCCCTGCCCCCAAGAGGTGTTGTTTTAGTGAAGAATAGTAGGGGTTTTCCTAGCATCCATTCGAGTGCTAATGGGGAGGTATGGTCAGCACAGAGTGAGAGCTGGGAGTTCTAATCCCAATCCCTGCCATGCGTTCTCATCAGACAAGTCACTTCTATGCCTCCGTTTCTCCTAGCTTAAAAACAGGAAAAATTACCTCTCTCTGATGGGTGTTAGGCGAAGCAGAGCTGGTCAAACAGAGCATGTGTGCACATGAGGGGAGGGGGGGATAATTTATTTGCTGTTTGATGACATCTTGTATATAATCAGTTGCAGCATCTCTCACCTTGGGGGCCACAAACCTGTTACTTCAGGGGGCCCTCAGCACCCAGCCTTTCCATATGGCTAAATAGGCCCCAGTTAGATCTCTGCTCTGTGGATGGGGGGAGGGATCCCGAGGAGCAGGTGCTGGTTGTAGAAAAGGACCTAGGACCACTGCCCTCGTGGAAGGAGGTTGTTTCAAACATCTGTAAAGATGGTCAGATTGCAGGGGAAAAAATATACTGGCACATCATTTTATCTGACAAGCTCCGGGGACGCGATGCACTGACTGGTGTTTATGACGACGGTAGGGCTAGCTCGGCTAATTCGCTGGTGGTCTGTAAAGTGCTCTGAAGGTGAGACGTGCTATGGAAGTGCCAAGCGATATTAGTTCGGTAATCGATGTCCATCGGGAGAGCTTCAGCTCCGTTTATCTGCCTTCTCTTGGCTTCGAGAGGCTAAAGGAGAGAGACCATGCTCCCCAAAGTGGAGAAAGAGGAGTAGTAACTTCAGAGCTAAGTGATCTTTCCCTACACATTTCTAAAGCCCTGGCTGGGATGATTTAGTTGGGGATTGGTCCTGCTTTGAGCAGGGGGTTGGACTAGATGACCTCCTGAGGTCCCTTCCAACCCTGATATTCTATGATTCTATAGCGTTCCTCTCTGGCCTCCATGACGTCAGCAGGGCCTTGAACCTCCAGCTTGTCTGACTTTCTTTTGCCCACCTTGGTGCCTGCAGGTCTGTGGGGACATCACACCTTTATCCATGACCTTGACGCATGCACAGGCTTTCACCTTTCTCTGCCCTCCCTAGAGGGGAGGACATTGATGTTTTCATTGAGAATGCCAACTGGTAATTCCCCACTGATAGGAGTCAACACTGATCCAGCTCCACTAGAGGAAACAGACTCTTCACAGGTGACCTACAGAGGAGAATACCAAAACAAAATGATGGTAGATATTAAGCACAGGAGATGATGGTGCCACCTCTCCCTCCTGATCCATTCTTTTATTTAAGTGACAGGGTATGTTTCTATCTGATCTGCTACAAGGCAGAAGTCTTGAATCTCCCACAGCTTGGAGCTGTGTGTCTGCCCCTCTCTGCTGGAGCTCAGGGTTCAATGTATCTCCTGAGAACATCTGTGCCAAGGACACCATCTTGGTTTATGGTTCCCGGAGCTTTAGATCTGAAAGCATCGCGCACATAACAAGGTGTAGAGCGTTGTCAAAATGCAGATTTGTTTTGGCTAAAGGCAGCTTTTTCTTCTGAGGTCAGTTTGATAAACAGAGTACAGCTTCTTCCTTTCCGGGGGGACTGATTTAGGGTCATCACACCTATTGCCAATGAGTTATTTCATTGCCTATGAGGGAAACCAAGTTTCTGATGTGAAGTGGTTTCCTTCCTTCAGTTGCTAAAGATTCCAGGCAATGACTTCCTAAGAACTTCATTAAGACTCAACTTCTGCTGAGTGTTTCTTCATTTACCGACGTAGCTGGACCGATGGAGAGACCTAAAGAATAGACACACACAATGCCATGGGATTTCAGCAGGGGTGGAAAGTGAGGTGAAGGGGGCAGATTACTGGTAACCAAAAAAGATTGCCTGTTCTTGCTAGGCCCCATCACCTCCTTTAGCCGTAACTTCTCATAGTTTCATCTGAGGAGACTCTGATCTGGGGAAACCCCTGAGATCCAGCCTGAGGAGGACTGCTGCACTGAGTTGGGAAGCCCTTCCTGAAAGCTGGCATTCCCAGCTGTAGCTTCTCCCACCCATTGGCCTGGGCTTAAGCGATGGAAAAAGCCAGCTCATATTGGCCACCGTGTGTCCTGGGTGTGAGGGTGCTGGGTGCTCAAAAGAGGCTTCTCTCACCCAGATGCCTGATGATGCCGCAGACCCTGCTCAGGACCCCAATAACCAAGGGGAAGATGAGTTTGAGGAGGCCGAGCTGGAGAGGCCGGACTTTGAGAAGGTGGTGCAATCAGACAAATACAAGGAACCCAGCGTGCTAGGGAAAGAGGAGACAAAGAAGCCACTGAAGGTAATGTAATGTGATGGGGAAGCCATTTCTGCAGGGAGGGGTGTCGGGGGGGGGGGATGAAGAGGGTCCTTGGCCCTACAAGTGGGAGGAGGGAGGGAGAGGATGCATGTCCCCCAAGAGAATTTTCACTCCCAAGCTCCTGTGCTGTATTGTGATGGGCTGGCAGTGAGAGAACCCTTCCCCCATCATCTCCTGCTCCTGGGCAGCTTGTAGCTATGGAGTCCCAGCTGGGTCATGACCAATTTTTCTTTTGGCTTCCAGGAGTCACTGGCAAGCTGCCCTCCTTTCTCCCTCTTCCACCTGCTCTGAGGCTGGCATGGCAGCACCTGTTCTCTGCCCAGCTATTGCGCAACATGTCTCACTTGCTCTTAGGCCTGTTCTGGTGCCACTTTGGGAGCGGGGCTACCCAAGACCTTAATTCTTCAGGGGGTGAAGGGAAGGGGGCAGAAATGTGGTTGTAAGGTGGACTTTATTATTCCAACTATGGCCACTTGCCACCATTGGCAATAGGTGTAACCACAGGAGGGCTGAAAACTGGGAATCCTGGCATATCCCATGCCATCTCTGTAGTGTTAGAGCCTTAAGGGCCCCGTGGCCCTCAATACGCCCCCCCCTTCTGAGCTGATGCCAGGTCTAGAGAAGGTAACTCAGAAACTTCTCTCCTCTCGGTCTCGCAACACAGGAGCCAGGAGATGTTCAATTTAAATTAAAAGGTGAAACGTTGAAAACCGATCAAAGGAAATCTTTTTTCACAGACCCTGTGGCAATGAGCTTCACAGTTTAATCCCAGGGAGTTAAGGCCACGAAATTAACTAGACTCACAAAGGGAAACTGATAGCCAGAATATCCTGCTTTGTCACACTTAAGGACAATCAACATTTTGGACAATCTTTCACTTTGGGGCTTAAGCCAACTTTAAACTATTAGAATCCAGGATGACATCGAATGTAGGGGGGCCAATTATCCCCCCTCTGCCTACTTCAGGATTCTCGTGACTTCCTCGGAAGCACCTGGTTGTAGCCATTGTCAGAGACAGGACACTAGACTAGATGTACCTTGCGTGGTCTAGTCTGGCAATTCCCATGTTTCTGTGATGTGGCCGCAACCATGGTGGATTGGTGGCAATTACGCTGTGCGAGGGAGAATCTTGTCTCCTCCAAGAAGATGATCGCTCGCATCTTGTGAAGCGCTTCTTGTGTCTGGAGCGAGACTCTGGAGCAGGGAAATATTAGCTTGTTTTGACAGGCTGCCGAGAGTTCTCTGTGTCACTTGTTTTTAAAAGGAGCATTTTTCTGTTAGGCTCTAAACCGATGATTGGTAGCAAGTCTAAAAACACTCCAAACCAATGGAATAGACATTGAAGCAAAGAGCCCACCACTGCAGGATTGCACCTGCTGAATAAAACCCTCCAGCCCCTTAGTAGGAAAAGAATTTGTACCTTAACTATTTGTCTTTGGATAGGGCTAGGCTGAGCTGTTCACGCTGTTTGGACAGAGCGCCGATACCTTAGGAGGAAAGACCTGAGGGCTCTGGCAGAGAGAACTTGTGCAAACTTAGCACTCCTTTGGGAGGAAAATTTAAACTCCTTAGTCAGCTTGGTCAGTTTCTTATTAATGAACTACTGGATGGAATCAGAACTGCACTGTGTGTCATAAGTCCTATACTGCTCATAGGAAGCAGTGATTCTCCCGTAGTCCAAGTGGGAGAGGCCTATGCTTTTGAGGACGTTCTATCCCTGCTGTCACTGTTATGTTCTGAATGGCTGTCCTCACAAGTTTGTTACGGTCTATATTGCAGCATCAAGATACTGCAGCACCAGAGCTGCATAAGCACAAGGTATAAATAAGGCATTGGCAATCAGATGGCTGACAAGAAAGGAAAAAGTTAACAGCCCTAGAGAAGACAGAACTAACCAGAGGACAGAACACTCCCCCTGTCTGTTGTTTTTCCCCCCTTTCCTTTCTTGTTTCCTTCCCTTTCTCTCTCTCACTGGATCTCCCTGCTCAGCCTGCTCCTTTCCACCATGTGAACGCTACAAACCTTAGCACAAAGCCTGGCTTCCGTTCTCCTTTTCTGAGCGGGGTGGTCAGCTGGTTTTCGTGTTGGAGCACTGCTCCCTTAGGCTCTGATTAGCTCCCTGGTGAGCCCAATGGGGAGGGTATTCGGGTAAGGGTAGCTGGTTTGGGTCTTATTTGTGGGGTCTGGAGGGTGGCATGAGTCGGTGCAGCTCTGGGCAGGAGCGGACGGCCTGCTCGCAGCTCAGCCCATCAGGTGAATGAGGAGGTGCTGAATCGTTGCCCTGAGTGAAGGCCTGTAAATCAGAAGCTGCATCAGCATATCTGAGTCCTTCTCTCCGGGAAGTGTAAATTATCGAAAGCTTTAATATTTCACGCTCGCCAGCAAGAGGCTCCAAGAAAATCCCCCTCAGATCCGGCTCTGTTTGTCTCTAACTCTGCGGCTGGGCAGGCTGCTGTGGGTGGAGTCAGGCTCAGGCGGGGCATAATGCCTTGCCCGATACCACTCCTGGTGCTCTCCTGAGCCAGTGCCACTCATGCCAACCTCTGACTCAGTGGAGGAGCTGGGCATAGAACCTGGGTGTCTTGGCTCCCAGCCTGTTGGACCATGCTGCCTCCTAGAACGATGAACAGCTGAACAGAGTCAGCCAGGATTCGAACTCGTGACTCCAGGGAATATGAATATTCCCAAGTGAGCAGAGAGCCCTCAGCCATTGCTATTGAGAGGAGAATGATCCAGTGACTTTCCCCCTCCACGGACCCTTTCTCACAATGCCCATGCCCTGTTTTAACAGGCTCGGCCATGGTGCCCTGCAGCAGCCCGGGCTCCTTCCCTGCAAGCCTGCAAACAGGCAGTAGCCATGGGCCAGATCCTCAGCTGGTGCGAATCACCAGAGCTTACTTACAGTCAGAGAAGCTGCATTGATTGACCCCAGCTGAGGCTGTGGCCCTGCATGTGGGTGGAGAGAGTGCTCGATCATTACCCCCCCTTGCGCTCCTGTCTTCTGTTCAAGACCTTCTCGGGGCGAGCTGCACAGCCCAGTGGCCTCCCCCGGCCGCAGGGGCACTCTGCAGCCCTCCGTGCACTAGGAAGGCTGAATTGCTATTCGTTTTCTCAGGCTGCCTCCCAAGCAGCTGCCATCTCTCATTTTAATGGGCAGCAAGTAGAACTCATGGTCTTGGCTGCCGGCTTCTGGCTGGAAGGTCTGAGCTCGGCTGTGCTTTGCTAATGTGACTTGGGCAACTGCAGTGGGGTGGAGGAGTGGGGGACTGGTGCCTCCTCGAGCCCAGAACATCACTCCCCTGGCACTTGGATGCTAGCTCAGCCGTACGATCGCTGCCCAGCTCTGCCAGCTAGCTTGTTCTTTCTGTCTCTCTCTCTCTAACAGATGCTTCCCCACTGTCTGTAGGGACTGTTCAACCCAGGGTGACCGCTTGCACACCCAGGGCTCTGGCACAGCACTGATCCCTACCGTGAGAGCGCTCCCATGCTCAGGCAGACGCGAAGGCGTGTGGCTGCTGGGCAATGACTTGGCTGCTTCCATCTGCCCCCCTGGCTGCCTGTGGGATAAAAGGGGCAGAAGCGTTGATTGGGGACAAGCACCCAACAGAGATGGGGTCACCTCTGATGTTCCAGGGTCTTGATTCAGCATCCTCCAGACCTGGGGCTCTAATACATGAAAATCTGGGTCTCCAAAGCTGCGTTGCCACTCCATCAGGATTGGGGTTGTGGGGTGTGTGCTTCTGGGAGCTTTAAACCAGGCTGACCTACCAGTGTCTGCCCTCCTGTGTTTCCAGGATGCCGCTGGGCCGGACAAAGCCAGGGAAGAGCCAATGGACGACTACCAAGAGGATCAGGAGCAAGAAATTGTACGACACTGAGGTTCTTCTTCATTTCCTGTTCTGTCGTGCGGCTGTGGGTGTGTTTGAGACCAGGAGCTGAGCCTGGTGCAGCGGTTGGGCAGACCTGTGCGTTGGGACAGCTGTTAGGGGAAATCTCACAACGCCCTAGGAATAGGAGTCAGGCTGCCTGTCCCTGTAAGCTCTTTGGGACAGGGACTGTGCCATTCTGCAGTGTAATGGTCAGAGCACTGGACTGAGATTCAGGAAAGCTGGGTTCTATTCCTGGCCCTGCTGGGTGACCTTGGGAAAGTCACCTCCCTGCTCTGTGCCTCAGTTTCCCCAGGTATAAAATGAGCATAATGATACTGACCTTTGAGATCTGCTGAAGGAAAGCACTGTGGAGGAGTTAGGTGACATTATTATCCGATGCGTTTGTGCAGCACCTAACAGAATGGGCCCCGATCCCAATGGGGGCCCTCGGGTAGTAGCGTGATGCGCGCACACAGGGCCTTCTTTCCAACGTAGCTCAGCACCCCCCAAGTTGTCCTTCTCCTTAGTTAGACTGGCTGGTGCTCAGCGCCTGTGCAGATCAGGCCCTGGATGATAAACAGGATGAACAAGGCTTTTAATCTGGTTAATCCTCCTCCCCTCCCCCCACATTAGTCATGACATACGTGAGCCGTTCCAAAGCACGGAGGCTGTACAGGTGCCCCCATGCTGTTCAGGCTCTTCCCTTCTGTCCCCCACCCTGAGTTAGTGTGGCTTTCCCACCCTGATCAAACCAAGGCCCGATCCTGCTAAGAGCTCTGCACTCCGGCTCAGCTTTTGGTTTAAATTGTCTAATTTTGGGAGCAGAGTTGAAAACCCCCCTCCGCCTCGGTGCGTCTCTGTGTTTTGCTGTGGCGTCTGTTTATTCCAGTTTATTAATAATGGACGAGAGATAAGTGCCTCCAGCAGAAACTGTCCCCTCTGGGCTTCTGCCTGCTTTCAAAGCAGAGCAATTACCTATCTTCAGCTACTTCTTGTTAACTCTGCGGCAGCCAGACCAGGAATCCCAAGGCTCCTTCTGGGGATGCTGACATGGAGGGGAAAGCTGCTACACTGCTGATATAAACGCATGATCAGTGGTTAAAAATGGCTTGTTGCTATGCAAGCTGAGATAGGTGGGTGATTGGATTTCACGCCTCGGGCCATGAAGGCCCTGATTCAGCAAAACATGCAAGCATGTACACAAGTCAATGGGGCATAAACACACAGTTAACTTGTCTGAACAAAACAAAGCTGCAGATTTCTGAGATAACCATCCTGCAACCGGGGGTAGCCTCTCTTCCTTACTTGCCTGCATTTTCAAAAGTGACCTGTGGTCTCGGGTGTCCAACTTGAGACAGTGTAAAAGGGGGGCCTGATTTTCAGCCTGTGCTGAGCACCCGCCTTGTGACAATCAGGACCCTTTAAGGTGTCTGAAGCTAGGCAGTCTCAGTCTCAACTCATTTCTGGACAATTTAGGCCAAGGGTTTTCAGGGCTTAATGTGGTCTGAAAAATGTCGTGGTAGTGGTGATGGCTGTTGTCATCTGGGAGAAGCAGGTTTGGTCAGACAATGCTTAAAATTCACCCTACAGGAACCCAGCTCAATTTAAATTGTTTTTTTTTTGGCCAGGTCTGTGACCCTTTGCTGCCCCTCTTCTCCCCCTCCCCCATTTAAACGCTGGCTGGTACTGTCACTGGGCTACATCATCTCCGAGCCAGGAATAGAACAATGAGAGATTATTGTTATGCCAGAGACTTTTTAAAATAACAATTTTTGGTGGTTCTTCCTGTGGTAATGCACATAATAAATAATAATATATAATATTTGTCTTCTGGTTATGGACCTTTTATGGGGTCACATTTTCAAAATTTTCTCCACAGCCAGGAGGGCTAGAAACTTTTTTTAAAGTAATTAAAGCTGAGGTTCACACCTAATCACAGGACTCCAGGAGCTGGGGCATTGTCAGAAATTGTCAACGCTACAGGCGAGTTTTATTTTTGGTGGTTTATTTGCCCTGCCCTTAGCTTAGGCAGTGACCGCAACCATGTCTGTTTCATTTCTGCTTGTAGCCATGTTGAGTCACTTTTGCTGCCTGGCATTATGCACTAGAATAACCTGATTGTCGCAGCCATGCTGGCAGAGCTTTCAATTGAACCATTTCCATTTAACTTCAAAAGAGAAAAGGTTGCGGGAACCACTTTCCATTTAAACGGGGAGTTTTGTGTCTATGTGTATGGGGAGCTGTTTTATCAAGATCTAAGTTTCCTTACCCAAAATGAATTCAGTATCTAAATCGCAGCACCCCGGCAAGCTAATTTTGCCTTGGACAGAGCCTCCCTGAGGTCTTTGATTGTGAAGAGACAGGGAGATGCCCTTTATTGCTGCCTGTGGAGTCCTTTTGAATTTTTACTGCCATCTGATTGTAACATTTAAATGTAATTTCCACTTCAAAACCAGGACAAGAGGGATCTGTAATTTGGAGGTGCAAATGCAAGGCTGGGGGCGAGGACGACTTGCATGGGGGTTAATGAGCAATTTCTAGACAATGCCCAGCTCTCCTCACCTGCTCCATTCTGTGCCTGAGGAGCCGCCATCTGTGGAAGCTGGATGTGTCCTCGCAGGGGGGGATTCTGAGGTTTTTTGGCTCACAGTTTGGGAAATGAATGACCTGCAATGGCAGAAAGGGGCCAGATTTTCAGAGGCCCCCCTGAGCCTCAGTGGGAGCTGTGGGTGCTGAGCCCTTCTGCAGATCAGGGGCGGCTGATCCCAGTCACATGGAAATCGCTGAAATAACTCCCTTGACCTCGGTGGATAGTGGAGCAGGCCCCCACAATCTGCCAGTCTGGGCTGGGTTTGAGGGTGGAATGTGGAGGAGCGCTGACCCCAGCTCTGCAATGCAGCCTCTGTCATGGAGTAAATAACCATGAGAAGAGGAGAGCAGCTGGAAAACGTGAACCCTAAACGCTCCAAAGGCAAAGGCCTCACACTTATGTATTTTTAATCTCATGATTTTGAAGCCAGTCTCATGATTTTGGGGCCCCACCTGATGGTTTTTGATCATTTAGGGTTGGCAATGCTGTTCCCCTTAGTGCCAGCTAAACCAATGCAGTGTCCCCTTCCCTTCCTGCCTCTGGCTAGGGGAGGCTTCAGTTAGATCTCTTCCCCCCCTACCCCCCCCATCTCCTGCCTCTCTCTTACCACTGCCCTTTGGCTGATGGGCTCGACTTGCTCCCACTGTTTTTACTTAAGAGCTTGCCCCAGGCTAGCCTGAAGCGCAAGCTGAATAAACAGCTCCTTGGGGTTTGCAGTCGACAGCCAGATCCCCACCACAAACCCTGTAAAAGCTTGGGACTGCTTGTGCGTAACACCATGCATAGTGCGAGGTCAGCCCTTAGCCATAGATCTGGCCCTGCGACTGGGTCAGAGGGGAGCCCTCAGCCCACCATCTCCACTGAGCCCACTGAATGTTCTCTCATGGCATGTAAGAAGAGTAAATAGTTAATAATGTCGAGCTCTTTTCATCCATAAATCTCAAAGCACTTTACAAATGAGGTAGCATTATTCCTGTTTTACAGATGGGGAAACTGAGGCACGAAGAGGCGCCGTGTCATCCAACAGGCCAGTGGCCGAGCCAGGAATAGAACTCAGACCTGCTGATTCCCAGTCCAGTGCTCTGAACACTAGGCTCCTCTTGCCATATGCAGGGGGGTGGGCTTCCTTGGCCCAGAAGGGGCATTATTTCCTAATATCAAATGACAGTGTTATGTGAGAGAAGGCTGCCTCATCTGGGGGCATTAAGTCATTTCCCTCTGTATCTGAGATCACCGTGTGGGGCGTTTGTTTGTTGATTGATGGGTGGTAAATCTGTGGGCTCAGCCTGAAGTTGCAAGGGAGGAACGCAGCAGTCCTGTACAATGTAGGACACGAGCTTTGCTGTTCCTCCCTGTGGGAAGGGTGGTTGCTGGCAAAGAAAGTGACATGATGGGACGCAGAGTGTTCCTGACCTCTTTTGCTCCTCTCCCCGCCCTTCGTAATTGACTGCACTGCTTTAGAAAGCTTTTCCTGGAGGCCTGGATGGTGTGACATAGCGTGCCTCTCTCTTGGGGTCATTTGGGTTCCTCCAGGGACTCCCCTCCCTCCTCTAAAAACCTGGCTATTCATTCACCATTGTCAGGGACTTACTCCCTTTGTAGCGAGTTCTAGCCGTCACAATCTCTGCATTCTGTACTGGAGTTTTCCTGTAGCATCAGGGCAGCTCTGCAATGGCGCACCAGCTCAGTGTTTGGTGGGGATGGAGCCCTGGCATTCACTCTAAAGCTGCACTTCCCAAACCGCATGGAGCTGGTGGTTGTTGGAGACCTGATGATGCTGGCTCCTTTTCTTTGATTCCAGCCACTGAATTGCATTACAGTGTGCTAAAGTTCGGCCAAGTGTTGTTTTTCCATGTAAGTGCTGTAGTTGTCACAGGGATGTTATGCGATGGTAGATGGGAGACGGTGGGGTGGGGGCAGGAAATGGGAGGGGAAAAGTCCCCAAGACCATCTCTGTTTAGATGTTGGCCCCAAACAGAGATTTGCAAACCCCTAAGCTAATGTGTTTCTAGGAAGTCAGTCCCAATAGCCTCTAGGCAGCGGATCTGGAGTGGAACCTTTCCAAAACCTGGGGGTAGGGTTCCGAGCCTGAGCTGCGCTTTGTACCCGATTCGAGTGGCCCCGTGCCGTCCGGCCTGCGCGGACAGGGATCTGAGATTTGAGAGGGGCCTGGAAGCACTTTTTGACTCTTCTGCTATTTTAACGGCTAGATGTGCTTGTTGGAAAGTGGTTTAGAGAGCAAAGCTCTAGGCCTGGCTGATTCAGTGAAGCTGGCGACAGCAAAGCCAGCAGCAGCCTGTCTCCTAGAAACCGACAAGGAGAGAGAGAGACCAGGCTGCTGGCGAGCGTGGTTGGTAATAAAAATCTACCTTGGAGCCCCCTCCCCCTCCTGTGCTCCAAAGTGTCCTTGCTGGTCAGAAGCCTCCCAGGGGGAGAAAGCCCACCTTGCTTGTTCCCTGTGGGTGGTGGGCTGTCCATGGGGCAGGAAGCAAGGCGCCTCAGGCTTCAGCAAAAGAATGTTAACTGCTACATCAGCGCCAGATTTGGCATCTTATTCAGACAGACCCAAGCTGTGCCTGGCTCTCCCTAGCCTGCTTCCTGGTCAGTACCAGTCCGGGCCCACACGTGTAATGAGCAGTCGCACGGCTGCATGTAAGCACCCTGCAAGGGAGAGTGATGCTCTCACAGGCCAACAGCTCTCATACAGCTGGCGCTCAGGGCCCTAGGCTGCCTGGAGAGGCTCCCCCTGTGGAGCTGGGGCCAGTTCAAAGGTTGCTGAGCTCCAGAGCAGTATGAGGCCCTGGAATGTTTTGTTTGTGCTAAATCTTGAGCGCCGATCTCTGAGTAGGACAGCACAAGCCAGGTGCCACTTAGAGCTACCTCCATTTGCTTGCCAGCTGTAGGTGGCTGGGTATCCATGCCTGAAGATGCCAACTCAGTGCATCAGAACCCAGGGAAGGACAGGGTGTTAACTGGCCAATTAACTGTAAATCACAGCCATTTAACACCCTAGGAGTCTAGCCCCGCCCACCCTTTCCCTAAATCCCAAGGGTATGTTCTTGTATGCACTGCCTGTAGGAACTGAGTATTTTTCAAGTAGTCCTTGAAAAATCGGACTTTGGTCAGTTTGCACCTGTGGGGTTCACACAGTTAAATACTGGGGGATGTTCACTAGCTGTGAATGACAGCCAAATGGCCCGTTAGCAGCCCTGGCATTCCCCAGAGTCTGAAGTATTGGATCATGTGGACATGCCCTGGGGCCAGGGCCCCAGTGAGTGAGGCACTGTGCAGACCCACAGTAAGGGCTTGCCTCCACTTAAAACACTGCAGCAATGCAGCTTCCACGTGGACCCTACCTATGCCGGTGGGAGGGGTTCTCCCATGGGAGTAGGAAATCCACCTCCCCGCGACTTACATGGGGACTTAGGTTGGCTTAACAATGCCACTCGGGCGGGTGGAATTTTCACAACCCTGACCAATGTAGTTAAACCAACCTAGTTTTCTAGTGTAACCTAGGCCTAAGAGATGGTCCTTGCCCCAGAGAGCTGACATCTAAACCGATGAGACAAGACACAGGGTGAGAGGAAGGAAGCTTAACAGGTGGGGTAGAGACTTTCAGTGACTTGCCCAAGGTCACCAGGGAAGGCTGTGGCAGGATTAAGAATCAAACCCAGAACTGGATCCCAGCCCACGTTAACTGGTGGCGAAACCATGAATGTTGGCCAGCCCTTGGCTGACTGGGTTGGGCTCTTGCTTTCTGTTCAGTGTTGATTTCTCCATCTCTCCTTTTTCCCTGCAAATAGGAGGATCACGGAGGGGAGGTGGATGATAACGGTGACCTGGAGCTGGTGCAGGAGCATAAGGACCGTGGGGGCATCCCAGGAGCTGAGAGCAAGAAGGACGATTACTACTGAGGGTGCCAGCGGCTCAGAGCGCCTGGGAGGAGAATGGCGTGTTATGGGAGCAGGAGGGAGGAGTTGCAGGAATCTCCTCGAGCGACATGGATCCAGTATGAACTTCCGAAGGCGGGGCTGGAGGAATGTGTGGCCAGCCCACAAGCAGGCCACTTCCAAACGCACATCGTGTGTGTGTGTGCCCGGTGCAATCCCAGCCGCGCTGCCCGCTGGCGGAGAAAGCAGAAGGGCTCTCTGACCCCCGGCACGGCCACATCTTGCTGCTTCTCTCGGGGGCGCTTATTGATTTTTTCCCCCTCCTTTTATTATTCCTCACTCCCCTGTTTCAGATGAAGGGTTTTTTTTAAAATTTTTTACTGCTTGGGGCACGGGAGAGGCAGATGTTTGCAGAACTACGAGACACCAGTGGTTGCACTGGCCCAGGCTGCTGCCCTGGACTCATTTGACTGATCTCTAATACAAAGGAATCTCTTTCTAAATCCTTTGGTTAATGGTGCTTCTTTAAAATGGTGTCTGTTTGCTAACTTGGATCATGCCTCCTGCTGCAAACCCCACCTGGAAATGGTGTTGCTAGGAAAAAATGAACATCTTGGTCGTTTAAACACTTGGGGTCCATCAGCAACTGACCAGCCGGAGCCCAGAGCAGGGGCAGTGGGAGTGGAAACTAAAACAGACCTTTGGGCGCAAGGGGCAAATATCTCAACTTGGTAAATTTTTGGGTCGCTTCTGGTGGCTCGATGGGAGCCTGACTCTCATGGGGACTGTGGGCGGGTGGTTAGGAGTGGGGGAGGGTTATACCAAAATAGACTCCCAGGGTGGATTCATTCCTGTGTCTCCTGACCAGAATGATCAGCTGTGTTGAATGTATCCTTGATAAATCTCTGGCACAGGGTACATAGAGGCAGCAACCATTTTTCCACTTCGCAGCTGCCAATGTTACCAGGAGCTGGGTTCTTCCTACGGATCCGTGGCTAACCCCGTACAACCGGCTCTGCTGCTGGTCCTGATTAAATGCTGGTGAGAGGGGGCAGCTGTGGCGAAGGGAAGGAGTAGTGGTGAGTCTTACTGAGCAGAGAGAGTCGTCTGGGGTCGGGGTGGGCTCTGACTGGGACGTACTTTTGCAGCAAATCCCTCTCTGTCATTCTTGGCTAGTTTGAACGCTCTTATGCATGGTTTGGAAGGGACCATGGAGGGGAGGGGGAAAAAGAGCCAGATGTGGCAAACAATGCTCACCTCCCTGGCGATTGTACAATCATCTGTCCCCCTCTCCTGTACCATCCCCTCTGAACTATTCCATTAACAGTGCTACTGGCCCTCAGCAATATTACAGGAAGGTGCGTTTCAAAACATGCTAGGGAGCAGATGTACATAAGAACGGCCACACTGGGTCAGACCAATAGTCGATCTAGCCCACAGTGTCCTGTCTTCTTACTGTGGCCGGGGCCAGGTGCTTTGGAGGGAATGAACAGAACAGGGAATCATCAAGTGATCCATCCCCCTGTTGCCCATTCCCAGCTTCTGGCAAACAGAGGCTAGGGACACTTCAGAGCATGGGTTTGCATCCCTGCCCATCCTGGCTAAAAGTAATTGATAGAATTCAATAAGTTCATGGAGGATAGATCCTTTCTGAACCCTGTTATAGTCTTGGCTGTCACACGAAATCCACGCAGGAGTGTGTTCTCAGGGAGATAAGGACCAATCACTCCCCAGGTGCCTGCCTTTGAATTTGTTACCAGGCACTCGCTCGCTGTGAGCCCCTGCCGTTGATCTTGGATTTATTATTAGAGCAAACTGTACTAATCCCTGGCCACTTGGGACCAGCACAGTTCTTTCTGTCAGTGCTATTCAGAACTTCCCGGAGACGGTGGGGATGCAGCTTAGCTGCTCCAGTTCCAAACTCACAAGCGCGCACACATCCCACTGCTGCGTGTCTGCTACAGAACCCCCTCTGTGCCAACCCACAGAGGATGTGAGTGGTTGCAGCCACCAGCTAAGACACCCTGACTCTTTGGTTCATGCTTTTCGCTCTGGAGATGCTCAGTTCAGTCCCCAGTGTGTCAGCCAAGATGGTGGCCATTGTACCCGCTCCCGCCCAATTCTGTACCCTGGGGGGGGGCTCAATTGTGTTCTGTTAAGCCTGCGTACCCCCACTAATTGCAATGCAGTTGCCTAGGGGTGAGAGCAGAATTTGAGCTTAACAAGGGCTTTAAGAAATCCTATTCCCCGATTTTATTTGTCTTGTCCAAAATAGCTGCTATTCCTTAGTCGAATGAAAAACAGCCTGAAATTCATGGGAAGACCACATGCCACCTTCAGACGTCCCCACGCCCTTCTCAGCAGAAACCCCCCTGCCGGCCAGGGGAGCGCTCCGTGGGAGTGGAAAGGGTGGCTAGTTAGCGTGTGTGCTGAGGCTGTGTTAATATCTCTGCACATCATGGAGCCACTCCCCTCGCCAAACACCACTCATAACTGGAGTACTTCCCCTTTTCCAGCCTTGGGCCAGAGACCTACAGCCAGGAGCCGTTCACTTGCCCACGTGAGTGAAGCTTTAACTGGGCCCTGGAGTTTTGGAGTAATTCCACAAAACTCCAGCTACTGAGCAGTGTTCCCAAATCTCTCTGCTTTGTACAACTCAAGCGCCTCACTGCTATATCCTGCTGTTTTAAATATAGCAGGAGTTGAGTGTTCAGAACTTGGGCAACTCGTATAAATATTTTGGAGACACAAAATGTCGTACGAAGGCTTTCGCCTGGGGGACACTTGTCCACAGTGCCATAGGCACTAAGTGGTACCTTAGTTGCCCTCCTCAGCAAAGAGGCCAGGGACAGAATGGCAAATTCCTTGCCTCCCGTAAGACAGCCTCTTACGCCAGGTTATCCCTGGAGGTCAGGCTTGAGACGCGTTAGCCAGTCTCCACTGCTGCCGGTAATGCATTCTCCCACAGGAAGCCACACCGTGATCCGTTAGGGAGTTCAGGGTAAGTTACAAAGGAACAGGCGTCAGCTAGCGTGATTTGGATGAAACGGTTAATAGTGGGCCTACGCTCTGCATTCGCCTCCTCCCAACCTTGCGGCAGGAAGCAACACGATTCTGTCCCCACCACCTGCTATAAATAGATTAATCAGAGGAGAATATATCTGCCCAGATGCATCCCTAATTCTCAGCTGGGCCCCAGAAACGTCAGTGTTCTACAAACCAAGATAAGATCAGCAGTGACTCGTAGGGTGACGGTTTCATCTCTGCGTCCCCCAAGTCAGCACTGTGAGATGAATAATGCAGGTAGCTTCTTCCTGAACTTTTTCTCCTCCTCCATTCCTTTCCATGTTCTCCTTCACCTGTGGCTCCCAGATGGTGGGAGCAGGGACAGGCTAGGCTAAGTGCTGAAAATAAACTCCTAGTAGTGATGAGACCGGTGTGCTGATTCAGAGAGACTCAGCAGAGGTTATCTAAATTAGGAGGCTAATTCCCTGCCTGCATAGCAGCAATGAGTAATCTTTGAAATTAGGACTTGGAAGGAATATAGCAACTCAGCCCTAAATGCAAGGCTCCCTCCTAAGAGAATGCATTTAACATCCAGCCAGCGTATGCTGGCCTTTGCTGAGACCTAAGTAGCTCCTCTCTGTGGACTGTCTACCAAACCCAGGTGTGGATCTAAAATCTACACAACACTGTGCTAATTTTGTCAGCCCTGGGTGACCTGGATCTTAACTGTCTGGATTAGAGCCAACTGCCCCCCATTATAATACCTCCTCTAGTGTCCCCTCCAAACTGTGGGCTGGAATAGGAGGTGTATTCTACTCCCCTTACTCTGCCCTGGACTGGAAAAATGGAAAAGCCACAAAATGGTGGGGATACATCTGTGTGCAAGAGCACTAAAGCTTGTTCGAAGGCTGCTTAAAAGCAGATGATGGAGCAAAGGGTTGGACCAGGCAGCATGGCCAGAAAGTTTACGGCAGATTAGGGACAAGCCTGAAAGTACAGTTAAATGACTGAGATGTCAAGGGAACAAATGTTGAGCCAAAGCTTTGGCTCAAAACCTTTCATGACAACTTCCTGGGGAAGCCATGCCGGGCTTAGCCATTTGACCCAAAGTCAGGGAGGACCCAGGGTTTAGTCCTGTATATATCTGATTGGCTAATGTGAATGGGAAACTGTGTGACCCAGCCCAGAATTCTCCATACTCCTGTTTTGAACTTGAGGGTGCCTGTTGGGGAGGATGACCTGGGACACTCAAACCAGAGCCCACCAAACCCAGCTCCTGGTCCCCAACCAATACTGAAGTTAGCCCATGATGTCCTGTGGGCAGGTCACTTGGGCGTGGAGAGAACTCGGGAGAGGGCACTGGTCCAGTTCTTTCAGGCAGGTGTTTATCAAGACACTAAGGATTATTATGCATCCTGACCAGAATGCCAGGTGAGGGGCTCTGCAGCATATGTGCAGGTGACATTTTAATCACATCAAGCAAATACAACAGTTTCAGGACAACAGATGCAAATGGATGCACACTTGCTGGATGTAGGATAAGGTGTTTCCTGATGTAAAGTCTCCGATTGGCTGATAAAACATATGTCTCAGGAATTGAAGCAAAACGTTGTTTTTTTGTTGCTTTTGTTTTTTCCCTTCTGGCCCTTCCAAAACTCGATCAAAAGAGAGCTTGGATTTTTGTAAACAAGTACATTTCAGGGTTGGTATGAGGTCAGAGTGTTAAGTGCAGCTTCTGTCTCTGGTATTGACTTTCACTTACAACCTCACTGCTGGAAAAACACAGGCACAGCACAAGGTCTTATTAGCCTCTCTGCAAATTTCTCCTGCTATGGGGCTGGCTGTTCAGGGCATGGCTTTTAGCAGCCTCTTTGTGGTTACAGGCTCACAGCAGGGTTGCAAAATATAGTCAGCCTCTTACTAGACAGAAGGCAAAAAGAGAAACGTAGAAAATAAATAAGGTAGGAAAGGAACAAGAGACACAAGGGAAAAGGGCCACAAAGGTTCACATCTCAGGGGGCATCTGGGACTTAGCCAAAGCCAGCAGAGGTGGTGAAGTCATCTGGGTTCCTCTCTCTCTGGCCAGGACGTGTCTCAGGGTCAGCCCAGTGCAGGCCCAATGGAAGCCTGGGTCCCAGGAGGTGGTTAGGGCAGCAGCCCCGATAGTGAAGTTCGCTCCTTCCTGTTCTCCCGTCTTTCAGTCCACCAGCATGTGTGTCCACTTCTCTCCTAGCGGAAGGATGCCAAAAGGGAGCAGTGGGTGGAATAGCCCATCCTCTCATTGTTTTGTCCACCTACTTTCTTACACACCAATTTTGGGTCACTGAGTTCCAGTTCTATGCTTTTCTTGTTCACCACGCATGATCCTAACACAGTCCTTGAGCTACAGCAGGAAAACTTTTGTTGTTGTTAATGACTCCTTTACTCTGTCTACCTTTTGCACCTTTTCCCTTCAACATTTGTTCTTACAGGTTATTGTGACACTTTATTAACTTTC